AAGAGTCACTCCATGATTTCTCGACTAGTTTTTATCTTGTTTTCACATCTTTTTTTATTCCTCTTATTCATTCAATCCCCATTTCGCTATCACTTTTCATCAATTTGTACCAAATTTGATGTGCTTTTAGAATCGTAAAATATTGCAAATAACCCGATGATTGAGGAATTGTACAATATTTTTTATGTTGACGAAAAAACGTGGGGAGAAGGAGGAAAGGAAAAAAGCTATTAAAATTTATTTGATGTTTCTTATTTTTGTTCTCCATTTCCTTTAGACCTCAGTTGTGTTGTATTCTTTCTATACCGTCATGAAAATACGATTTTTAATGTTCAATATTCTCTAAGTTTTATGCTCATGGGAATTCACTTTGACTGGTTGCACGAATAAATGGGGTTCTCTGCAGAGAATATTATTCGCACTGCCAGATGTGAAACTGTAATTTATTAAATTAATGTTTTAAAACCTTACAAATAATTTATTAACATTGCTGTTGTATGGCTTTGAATGACTGTTGTATGGTTTTGAGTTGTTGTGAAAATTTTAATAACTGTGAATGAACCTTACAAATGTTTTCAACTGTTGTAAAGCTTTCAAATTTTAATAACCTAAAACCTCACAAATGTTTTTAAACATTCATTGCTGTTGTGTGGTTCTGAATTTTAAATACTTTTAAAGTTTTCAAGAAAAATTTCCATTAATGCACAGAAAAACGTGATGATTGTGACATTACGCTACCTTCTTTTTTGAGAAAGGGTAGACGAAAAGAAAAAAATCTTTTCGGGTCGATAAGTGACCTCAATTAAGAGCAATTTACATAATAATAAGATTCAAAACTAAAAAGAAGAAACGCGTTTGAGACGAAGGACACACGAGATTTAATTACTTGTCATGAGAAGAAAAACTTTTTTCTCAATGTTGTGTGAAGTATTAAATTTTGTAGTATAAGAAGGAAGGATATAGGATATCATTGCATTCATTGTTGAATAGACGGACGAGAAAAAAGTTTATTACGAGTAGAAGAAGAAGAAAAAAATTGATAGACACGATTTAGTTCTCTTTTATTTCCTCATTTTTCTTATGCTTCTTACTTCATCCTATATCAGATACAAAACTTCCGTCAGAGGCGTATGTTTTTTTTTCCTTATTCATGCTTTACGTTTTTTTTTATGTTAAAATCGTATTGATTGAATATTTTTTTTTATTCTTTGCCTCCTTTTCAACAGAAGCACCCCATAAATTTTTATTTTGCCTGCAATAATCTAATAGTAATGATTTTTAAAATCTGTGCCCATGACACACCTGATTTTGATGGGATTTTTCATTCCTGTAAAAGCTTATTTTATTTTATTATACATTTCGTCTAGCAGAAGGCAAACAAGAAGAAGCAGGAAAGGAAAAGTTTTCTTTTCTCCACTTCCTTCATTTCTTTTTCTCTACAGTTTCCTTTTCTTTTCTTCTCGCCTTTTCTCATTCTCTTCTCTACCGTGATTTAATTTCCAGTCATTGATGATAAATGTATTTTGTGGCTATTAAGGAATGCCTCTTTTAAGGTTTATTTTTTTTTTCTATTTGATATAAAAGGGATTTTTGATCGCTTCAGTGTCGGAAGAATGACCAATTGAAATTTTTTTTTGTGTGTAAAGAGTAGAGAAGTTAATGGCTTACGGAACATTTATAAAATAAAATTCAAGTTTCTTTTATGACTTTGCGGTATTTTTCATTAATTAATTCCCCAACAGCTTTTACAAGCCATTTAAAAGAAAAACTTTTTTCTTTTTCTAAAAGCTATTCTTTCTTTGCTGTGTTGTCGGTTGACATTCTTTTTGGATGGCAGATGCATGCTCTGCTGGACGTTTTGTTCTGTTTTTAATTCATTTGGATTTGTTTTAATCCGATTATTTATTTTGGGATTTATTCTTAATCTGATTGGAATGCTGGAAGTTTGAGTTCTTTAATTCTAATAAGGGATCGTTCACTTATGACGTCTATCAAAAAACCGGATGTTTAGACCCCCCTTCCACCCCTCTCTCACAAAACTGTAACAGATGTCAATACCTCCCCCTCCTTGTGACATCCAATCCAAGTCAACAAAAAATTGTAATCTCCTGATTAAAAAATTAGATGTAATAAATTTCCTAACCCCCTTCCTCCCCTGTCACAATGTGTCATAAATTGTTTGACCCCCCTCCCACCCTAAATGTTGAACGTCATAAGTGAACGACCCCCAAAGGCATCTTTTCCTTAACATTTTAAATTCACAAATGCTCTTCAATCATTCAGAAGAGAATCAAAATCATGACTTTTGCACTGATTCTCTCTTGCTTCCTCAAACTTCATCCTTTATAGTCTACTTTTTGTACATCTCCCTTGTTAAATACTTGTTCCGTTCAGCTTAGTTCAGGTGAGATTTATATTAAATTTATAGCTCTCGTCATATGGAAAACCCCAATTAAAAAGAGCTAGAAAAAAATTCCAGCAACAACTATAATTAAAAAAATATATATCTTGAACAATCGATTGAAATGTTTCACAATCACTGTGTATGTATGTCAATGTCTATATAGTTTAGGAACTAAATGTCGTAGCCTTTTTTTCTGTAGTTGCTATAGAGAGTCACAAGGTGCAAAAGATAGAACACAATTGAATATAGACAACGACTAAGGAGGGGTGGTTAAATAATGTACAACAACTTGAAAGAAGTAGCCTTTATAAATGATTGCATGTTTTGTTCTTCTCATTTTTATAAACAAACATATGTGCAATGAATCGAACGGGTGGTAATCGAGGGAGGAATATGAAGAACAAAATTTATTGGGTGAAAAAAGCTGTGAAAAGTAAATATATTTTTTTCTCTCTTTGTTTCGTATTTTTCTCCCGGGCGATACATCATGATAACGAAGGTTGCACGACTGTTGCGTGATTTACTCGATAAGGAAAACAATTTTGGACAATTTCCTTAATTAATAAGTCTAAATCTATTTATAGATTAGGGGCCGTTCACTTATTATGTTCGCATTTTAGGGGGGAGGGGGGGTTTGAAAAATTGTAACAAAATGTAAAATATGGGGGGGGGTGTCAAGAAGTTTGAAACGTTCTAACATTTTTTTTTAATTTTCCACCTTTTTTATCAAAATAAAATAAATTATGAACATTCAGGGGGGAGGGGGGTGTGAGTGGTAACATATTGTAACAAGGGGGGAGGGGGGGGGGTGAAAAAAGTCGTTTTTTGCGTAACGTAATAAGTGAACGGCCCCTTATAGGGAGATACACAGTAGGTATCAGAATTTCTGTTCAAACTTGTGTAAACACATCTGTTACGTTTAATCAAAGATATTTACGTGATACTTAAATCTGTATGTGTTTCTTTCTGTATCTTCGATTCTTAGTACACAAAATTGCTATTTTAGCAGTTAAACAGCAAAATTAAGTTGAAATTAGTTTAGGCTTAATCTCAAAATTTTTATTTATAGTAGTCGAAGTATTTTCACCAAGAATCAAACTTCTCTAGTCCTTTGAATTTAGTCCCTGTAAGGCTAATACAACACAGATCCCTCTGTTCATATCATCGAATCATCATTATTAAATCTAGAAGTCCAATTTCATACACCAATCCACAAATTGAGAAGATTTTTGATGAAATATTAAATTTTCATCATCTGGATCAACCTAATAATATTCATGTATGAGAAAGCCATAACCCCATTAAATAAATTAATCCTTTACAACATAAACGTTGTCATTTCTCCTTGTCAAAAAAAAAAGAGAAGAGAGAAAAAATTAATCCAGAACTACCATGCGACTGTCATCCGAAATATGTCACTCGGTTTTTATATGACTTTTCATTTCTCGTCGACTCTTCTCCTTTTGTCTATTCATTCTATATTCGTTTGGGACTCCTTATTTTTCTATTATATGTATTACATTAGTCGAATGTCTTGTGTCTTATCTCCCCCAACTGACTTTCCATGTGAGCAGCAAAAATCTTGTAATGAGATTTTTCTTCCTTTTCTTTTCCGCAGACATACATTCAGTGTATATAAACATAGAATGTAGAGTGAAAAGAGACATACTGGAATGAGTGAGGACTGTAGGAACGACGAGTATATTTTTTTTTTGCAAGCAAAGCGAAAAGGAAGAGCGGAAGTATTAAAAATAAAATTATATGAATGCCGTTTGTGACCATGCTGTGATATATATGTGTATGGTATGTACAGAATATAGTTATATACACAAGACAATTATGTATACACACTTACCCGAAATAATAATAGTAGATGAAAGCTTTTACTATTGTCTAGCATTCACGCGATAAATCCTTTTCTGCAGCATTCAATATATAAAATTCTTTTTATATTTCTTCTATTTTCCTTCTTGCCTCCTTTCGTACTTAATGCCTTTTTTTTCACAGATTGTTATATTTGTATTGTTTTGAGAGGCCTTTCTTTCTCTTTTGAATAGACCATTGAATTAAAGAAATCGTCTTATTTGACTTGTGAGCTTAAGCCTTTTTTATAATCTTTTCCCATCACACTGCCAAAATCCTCGCTTTTAGGATTTCCAAATAAACAATCCGCTTTTAAATTTAATTTTTCCTCTTTTTCTGCATTTAGATTTTATTAAATTGTTATAAGCACGAGACACAGAAAAAAAGATTGCAACATTTAAAAGGAAAAATATACAACTGAGAAAACTCATAATGCGAATTCTCCGATAATGCTCAAGTTTTTCCTGTGAGAGACTTTTCTCCCATTTTATGCTCTTCTCTCTGTTTTCCTCATTTTCTCGTGGATAATGTCATGCAATATGTCACAACAGGACATTAGCTTCTTCCTTCGATATAAACCTGATTCTATCATTATTAACGTTTTAATCATTTTTTGGATTTAATTCATCATTAAGATATTAAATTTGAATTTGTGTTGGTGACTGAATGCGAATGTTTTTAAAAGCAATCAATTTGAATTCTACAACTTTTAGATTTTTTTGTGTAACGGTTTATTTATATTTGAAATATTTCATGCAAACATTTTCTAAACGCACGTGGCGCATTGAAATTATCAAAAAATTAGTTGAATTAAGGAATATCCTTTGTAATTCTTAAAGAAAGGTAATGGTTCGCGGTATTCATAAACTCTTTGTATCAAATCTGCCGTGGACAGTCGGTAATATTCAATTAAAGAACTACTTTCAAAGTCTTGGATTACGAGTATTTAGTGGTGAGTCATTTTTTATATAGATCCAGTAAGATTCAGACAGTAACAATCATGTACCTTAATGTTCTTAGCTAATGTTGTCTTTGATAAAAAGACAGGATTATCACAAAAGTACGGATTTGTAGAAATAGGCAAGAACCAGCTGTCATTGCTTGAAGAAAAAGATCACAAGCTTGAAGGCAACAGAATATTCTTCCAGTTAGCACAATAGATTAGTAATTAAAAGCCATAGTAATTATGTCAGAAGATAATTTTAACTTAGCCGCTAACTTTATTCAGAATAATCACAAGGATTTCAACAAAGATCAGCTTTTGAACTTTTATAAATACTATAAACAAGCCACAGTCGGTCAATTAGATGCATCACTTAATCCCAAACCATCATTTTATAAATTTAATGACCGTGCAAAATGGGATGCATGGAATTCACTAGGAAATATGTCAAAAGAAGAAGCAATGAAAGGATATTTAAATCAATTAATTGAATTAAAACCAGATTGGATTGATTCAGTTGACATTAATAGTAAACAACCATCATTTAAAGCAGTTTCTCGTATGCAGAGCAAAGATGAATTGATAGAGGATGACGATAAAACCATTGAAGATTTTCTAAAAGAAGGAAATACAGAAAAGTTTAAAGAACTGCTCACATCAGTCGATGACATTAATGAACTAGATGAAAATGGAATGGGATTAATTCATTGGGCTAGTGACAGAGGAAATGAATCGATACTTGAGCTCATTTTATCACAAAAAGGTGTCAACATTGATTTAGTCGATAGCTCAAATCAAACAGCTCTTCATTATGCTTCATCGTGTGGACATAAAAAGATCATTGAGATTTTATTGATGAATAATGCAAACAAGAATCTTTTTGATGAAGATGGAAACTCGTGTATTGGCGTTGCATTTGATGAGGAAATAAAGTTAATGCTTAGTTGAAATGCTTGATTTATAAAACTTTGTGTATTATTCTAAATTTGTTGATGACTTTCCACTGATTTGTGACTAGTTTTAATCCCAAAAATGAAAAATACATACCTTTATTGTTCACAGATATTTTTGGGTATATTTTATTCATATCTCTATCTAATCTAATATTCGTACGTATATCCATAGAATCAATATTGGACATCCTTTAAAAATTCATAAGCTTTATGAATATATGGGGGAATTTGAAGCCAATATTGACTGTCTACGGAAAGAAAATTTAAATAATCGAATACAATATATATATATATATATATATATATATATATATATATATATATATATAGACATAAAATATAGACTTAACCGAGTATTCTTATTGTCCTGTGGCTAAACAAAGACTTATGGCTTGTTGCTAAAAATGACAAACTTTAAAATTTAAAAAAATCTTAAATCTATAAATGTAGACAAAAAATAATATTATAAGGAACTGTAGGATGTGCATTCTAAATGCAAATTAATGGAAATGCTATCTTTGTGTGCTTTAATTTGATACTTTGGCTATTCATTTATAGTCCTTTGTTGAAGTAAACAACGTCTGGAACTTTTCCTTTGGTATTTTCTAACATTTCTTGATACAATTCAGGCTCGAATTTCTTCACACAGTCGGTGCTTAATGTAGCACGTTGTGGAAACAGTCCACAAGCTGTTGGTACCATGAAAATGAGGAAACAACCTACCATTATGGTTTGGAACGGCGCGTGCAGGATATGCAATCTTTTGAAAGTCTTGAACTTTTCAAGTCTCTCCATTATGACTGGCATGAGAAGCATTCTGTTTTATATTAAATTAATTAATTTTTATATTTTCATGAGTAATTTCAATTAGCTTACCCTGGAGCTGCCATCGCGATTCTAGATAATACGACTTCACTTATGCCCGTTGTTGCTGCAATACGAGATTTTCCAACAGGCTGAAAATCCATCAGATTTATTTAAAACTTTTTAATAATCGATTTTTTTTTCTACTCACATTTTCATCTTCATCCTCGACTTGAATTCCTTTAACTATCTCATTCTGTCGCATTAATGGAATATTGACCATATTTGCAGCCGCAACAGCAATGAATGGAACATAACGCAAGAAAAATGGACTTGCACGTTTTGCTAAAAAGCTCTTTGAACCGAGTGAAGCTACTAATGCAGAAGTCGTGGCTGAAACATAAGCAATTCCCATTTGTGTGGTTGTTAATGGTGAATTTGCATTGCGGTTTGTGTAGTTGACGACTGCATTAAATGACTAGAATTGTTCATTTTAAATAAAATGCCATCATTGAGCATCCTCCCCTTTTTATACCTTACCTGATTGATAAATTGCCATAGAATTACGCTAGAAGTATTCTTGTAGAATGTTAGCATAGCACCAGTAATTATCATGCCACCGGGAGCCTGGAAACTCATTCTTCCGAAGACATTTTGAAGATCTCCATTGTCAGGATGGAAGGATGATTCATACAACTTTTTAGCATAGATTATTTGTTCTCTGGTAGTTCCACTTGGTTCCTGTCTAAGCTTGTATTTTTCTACCAAGTCTTTTGCAGCATATAGCTCTTCGTCAGATGCGAAAACTGTCCTGTATATAAAGATTTATAAGATTCGATAAGGAAGTTACGCAAGACATAAAATCATTTTAGTAGATCAAAATGTATGGAACAGACATGAAGATAATGGCAATTGACACATTTAATTGCTTAATTAGCAAAAAACATTAGTTTAGACATTCCAATCAATTATCTTCAACAGATCGAATTTACACCAAATATGGAAATTAATTAAACTTACCGAGGGTCAGTAACAAATAAGAAGTGCATAAATCTGCCATAAAATGTCTTTTGATCATACAGCGGCTTAGATATATCAAGTCTAGACTCGTCTGTGAGTTAATAAACAACAAAAAAATTTATTACAAAATTAATAGAGCGAATAAAATTCTTTGTTAAACTTGTCACGTAAAATTATCAACAAGAAAACAAAAATTGTACTTTAACTCACCCATGATTACTGTTCAATTGATACAAAAAACCTTACAGTAAACAGAATTTATTTGAATTAATTTATTGATAAAATATTTATTATTTCGATTTGAGATCAGATTTTATGAACGTACTCTACTCAATTCTACAGAGTTGGAGAGTGTTCTTATGCTTGTGTAATTCTTATTATGCTTTAGAGTTGTAAATTTGATTAGCTAAAGAAATTGCTTTATCTGAAAATTAAACAGTAAGAAAAAATTCAAATTTTTTATAAGTTGCTCATCGTTGCTCAGTTTTTCATAATCTTTGAATTTTAAACTACCGTTAAAAACCAATAATTTTTGACTTTTTGAACAGCATGCTGCTTTACTTGCGTATGAAAAAGCTTTTTATGAATTGATCATATTGAAATTAACTGCAATAAAAGATAAGGTATCAAAACATTGATAAGGCAATGGAAGTTTAATTTAATTCATAAATAATCATCATTTATTAAGTTTTTTTTTGATATATTGTGAATTAAAAGTATTTTAACAATAATATCCGAATCGGGTATATTGCGGAAAAAATTGCATATTAATCATTTTCGTTAAAATTCATATTCCTAAAATTGTTACCCCATTAATTTTGTCAATGTCTATAAAAATGTCATTCATTTCCCCAAAAAAACATGCAATTTAAAAAAAAATTAAGAATGAAACTATATTTTGGCACTAAAAGGAAACTGTATTGTAAATAGAAAACTGTTGGTAGTCAAAAAAGTACGTTTGTGTGCTCGTTATATTCTTGTTCTTTGGTAATAAGATATAAATAATATGTATGCTGTTTGTGCATGTATACAAAAAGAGTCTAGAAGAAGACAACAGTATAGTTCAGATAATAACAGAATTATTACAAAGTAAATCCCAATTATTTAGGTATATCACACTAATTTCTTCGATTACAATTTTTATTGTGTCAATAAGTAAGTACGGAAGATAAATTCTTAAAAAGTTTAAAATAGTTCCAAATCGACTCATTTTAATTTATTTTTTAAAAATGATAGATTTAAGATTGTGCCTTTCCAAACGATGCAGTTGGTGGACGATAAAGTGGTGGAAGTGCCAGAACTTGTGGCAAATTAAATGCATACTTCCTTCGGCAAATATTTTTAAACGTATTGTCAAGTCTCGTTCCTTCAGATCTCATTACATCCAGAACATTTTGGAGATTAACATTTGGCAAATGAAATTCTTGCTGCAAAATTCTCGCCTGCTCTAACGTAACTGCCATTCCTATAAATAAGATGATAAGTATAATAGATGTTAATTACATTAAATTGCAGCTTTACCAGTGCGATCTTTTGCGCTCTTACACGAAGTGACTCTCAAGCCATTAAGAGCTCTCGTTATATCCTGTGCAACATGTAGAACCTTTATATTCTTTGATGTATTTATTCTCAACAATTCTTCCATTTTATCAAGCATGTTTATAACGACCTGCTCGGAAACAGAATTATCTTTTATCGACGATGGTACTTGAATGAAATAATTCTTCGGAGAAGTATCATTGCTGTTTGCCTTCGGATCAGGAATTGGAATCTTTTTATACATGATATGATAACGTTTCAATCGATCAAAATTGTCAAAATTCGAACGATGCTGTTCTCTGCAATATCCGAGCGATTCAGCCAATGTTGCCATTTCATTTATTCCAATATTGAAGAACACCTAATGTGGATGTACATATGAGAATAATAATTGATTAGTTATTGATTATTTGTTTATTTCAAGGTGTCATCGCATTTAATGAGAATTGTTTAAGAAGCTGTGATTAATCTTAGGATTTAAAATATATTCAATAATTATTATGTATGTAGATTAATGCTTACAGGTGTTACTTTAAATGTAATTTGATCACGATTGAGTGGAGATTGTCCATTGGAAGGAGGCAACATAGCATAAACATAATCAGGAACTGGTAAGTAGACAACCAATGATTGTCGAGAACCATGGATTCTCGGCGTTGGCATAGCCTTTGTATTATTTCCATTGTGTCGAACAAGTGTGAAATTTACTGTCGATAAGTCCTCAATAGCCACATTCATATCGGACCAGAAATCTGCTTCACTTCCATAAAGCTAAAGCCAGTAGAAAAACGGGAAGGTTTTTATTACATTTTAATGACTCGTTATGAGTGTAATAAATACTGTAATTAATTCAGTCACTTACCGATAAATAACCTTCAAAATAAACCAATGGTCCGAGTGCACAAATAATATTGACATAATGCTCGGTAATGTTTGAGCCCCAAAACTTTCCCATCAATGATGTTATGAGTGTCGTTAACTACATTAAATAAATTGAATTGTATATTTTTGTAAGTATTATTTTAAGTAAATATTAACAGGCAATCGTCACATCTTCAAGGGTATTTTCTTGAAACAATAACTGAATTTCTTATTTTTTGGGCATGGGGAGTTTGAATTTGATTTTTAACAAACTTTTAAAATTTTGAAAATTTAACGGTTATCAAAAATTCAAATGAACTGAACCAACGTGAAAGAGAGGCAACATGACCAAGAAGAGAAGTGACGGCATTTTAATAATTTCAATTAGCAGATAAATACTCACCGCCTGCGAAAAACAAACATCTCGACGGTACATAATGGCCAAGTTTGAAGTTATTTTTTTCGTATCTTGATGCAATCGTTGTACAGAATGAATCAAACGTGCCGTTTTTAGCAAGCCATCCATAGCTTGTCGTAATTTTTTCATCGATGGCCTCAATTCATTTGCCCAGTCTGTAGTTGATGAAAGATCTAACCCATCCGTAAATTTGTTGCCTTTTTTCACCTTTCTCGTGACTTCACCGACTGCCTCAGTTAATGCTAAATTTAAATCCTTACTTGGCATGTTATTTGACGATTTACTTCCATTTGTCAATGTTATTGATGAAGAATTAATATTGCCATTTTCACTTATTGGTTGACTTGTTACCACATCATTATTCATTGAATCACGTTTAAGAGACGAAATAGAATTTCTAGGTTGACGCAATCGAACTGCTGGCGATCCACATCGACCGCATAAAAATTTAACTTTACTGACTAAGCACATTACACTCGCTTCGATATTTAATTGCGTTAAATCCAATGGTTCAGGCTCTTCACTAGGCCTATAAAAATCAGACGATGTCATGACTTTCGTATCGAGGAAAGCACCATTATGATTTAATACGATTGATGTGTTTTCAATCAAATATCCATTCTCGTCATATATGCTCGACAATAATTCATTTTTATTTTCAATCAGTTGATCTGGTGTCAACGAAATTCGCATATCATTTTCATTATTATTATTATTATTATTATTTTCACTGCACCCAATATTTTCAGCATTTAAATCCATCGCTGACGATGAGACATCTCCGTTGATATCAAAATGTGTTTCACTGAATTTCAACTCATGCACTTGTTCCTTAATTTGATCAGATGCGAACATCGGAGGAAGTGACATGGACATTTTTTCACTCGTATTAAAATTTTGATATGAATGCACAGCATTTTGGGCATTTGTGATTGCATTAATGTCAGTTGCTGACGGCGATTTTGCCTTCATAAATCCTAATTTAGATTCAGATCTTGCCACTTTTTGTGGCCACAAATCTGGCACATGATCATTTGGCGTTGCAAAGTCTTCTAATTCTGGACTTTTAAGATCTAATGCACACAGTTGCTGAGTAATCTTTTTAAATGGCGATAAAGGAGTTATTGTATTATCTGGCTCATCAATTATTCGATGTTGCTCTATAAATCTAAAAGCTTCCTCAACTAATGAGGGCTCCCAAATATTTAATAATGCACGTGTCTTACTCATCATTTCATTACACAACGGAATCATATTCTTCGTTGATTTTGTCTTAGCAAGTAAAAGAAGTTGTGACATAATTTCAACAATTTCCTTTCTTAGCTGCTTGATTGATTGTACAACATCATTAGCTGCCTGTACTTTATGTTGAACTTGTTCAGTTCTTGTTGGTGTGTCTTTAATTTGATGTAGTAGTTTAATTAATCCACCAGTCTTCTGTTTACCCGTGTGCCTTGTAAATGCACCAACTGTCATTACATCCAAACATCCAGACTTCTTTAACGTATCATTATGTGCAACCATTCTTTGTAAATGAAGATTTATCGGTGCAAATTCCAATGAATCATCATTTCGCTTTGCTGATGGCTTAAAGTATTTCCCTCCACGTCCATTATGATATTGTAGACTTTGTTTTGCTTGCGAATAATCCCTCAATAGTCTTAAATGTGCATCAAGCAGTTCCAATTGTTTATTCTTCCATTCACCACCTAATTCTCCCATCGCACTAATTTCTTGTAACAATTCTTTTTCACGCATTATCCAAATCGACAAAAGCTGTTGTGGAATGATGAAACAAAGCATACTTTCGAGCATAAATTCGTGAACGCTTATATCACCGCCGGCGAGGCCTGAGTGTGCTCGATAAGTTCGAATCTGTATTTTTTTACAGAGAAAATTAAATTAAACATCATTTTTAATGCATGTTCATCATTTTAAATTATAAGCATTCCCATAGATTTGGTTTTTATGGTCCACATTCGGATTGAACTGATTTTATATTTTTTATTTTTTTGTGATTTAAATGAATAGAAATACTTTGATTGTGATCCTTTCATTAGATATGAACGTGTTGAAAGTATAATTCATAGACATCAATAGATAAATTGACATTGATTCAATTAAATTATTATTGAAAGCTAATAGAAAGTGTCAGTAATTGATTTGCCGTTTAACGACTTTTTTCAATTCAAATTATTTTCAAAGTGATGCAAAAAATTGACGCAAAATTTTTGAATTTTTAAAAATACGTTATATATTATTAAATACTCACACATGGATTAGTGAACAAAAGAGGAAGTTTCATGTGATTGGGAATAAAGAGTTTCACTCCGAGTTTCGGTGGAAGTGACTGAGATCGTCTATGTCCGATTGACTGATGCTCATTTAATTTAGCTGGAGAACGAAGCTTCTTATCATTTTCAGGCGTAAAAGTAACAATCGTAATAAATCCAACATTATTGTTTTGGCTTCTGATTGGAATACGTAAACGTGTTGTGTCTTGAATAACACCTAGAGATATTTCTGCAAACCCTAAAGGTACAGCAGTTTGAGAAACTTTTTCTCGCACGTCGTATGCTGTAAATCGGATCATTGTGCTCGCATTTAAACCATCTGATGCCCGAAAAACAATTGTACATAAAAACTGTGGATTTGATGATTTCTAGATGTATTAAAAAGCTATTAGAAAATTGTATGATTGATAGATTTTTGATGTCTCATACTTCTATGACTTCAGTTCGTCCGTATTTTATCCAGCCGCCATTCGATGATGTGACTTGAACGACAATTGATGCATTTGGCGGTTTCCCATAAGCATCACAACTGAGATTGTCACACGATATTACCGATTCACAAATTGGCACTTCTGCGAAATCTGTATTTAAAGGCAGGGAAGTGGAAAAATGACAGAAAAAAAGTTTTTTTTTTTAATTTCTTGCTCATTTTGAAACGTGAAATTTATTTCTATAATACTTTTATGACAAATAAAAAAGAAATCTTTGGTTAAAGGAAGGATTAAAATCTTATAAGGTCTTCACCTATATTCATATTGCCTGTCTGTAATCGATGCATTTCAACATCTACATCCATTTTATGACTACCACGACGCTTCTCGATTTGTTCTCGCAAATACTGCAATTGTGCTCTCATGATATCATAGCCAGCAATTCTTAGTGCCTGAACCCACTCATTCCGTTCCTCTATCGTATTCGCTCCAAGTCTTTGATTCAGCCCGTCGTCAAATTCTATTGAAGTATGAAAAATTTGTTTGTGAGATGAATTTTTTAATTAATTATAAAGCATTTTGTCTCACCTATATAAAATGGATATCCTTCAAAAGTCTCTGATGGCTCATTTGGAATAGTCACACGATATTTCTCAAGCACAATAACACCCGAAGGCTCCGAAAATTGATCATTTGATTTGAAATAAAATAGCAAATTTCCACGCAATTTGCACCATCTTTGGTTACTGACTATGAAAAGTGATGTAATTAAAAGAATAGATTTAAGTTAGGCACTACAAATCTACGTGAAATAATGACAAATCGACTTCACTAATGACGTCACTCATGTATGAGAAGTATCTCATGATTAACGCCATTTGTAAAAGATCCTATTATTACATGAAAATAAAATCAAGTGCCCAAGAAGCACACATGTGCATCTCGGGGTGATTAAAGGAAGTCAGATAAAGTGAGAGATAGAGATAGAATAAGCACAAATAAAAGCATAAAAATAAGTGTGTTTAGTGCTTTTAGTGTAATAAGTCATCAAATGTGATTCAAATTGTTCACTAAAAGTCAAAGTATGTGATTTATGTTAATGCTAGATTATATACACGATTTACATATTCCATTCACCCTTTCTTTCTGTCTGTTTTCATATTATTTGTTTGTTTGTTATTCACCGGCTATGTTTTCATTCATTCCGCTCTTTTTTTCCACGTTACTACTCATGATTCATCTTAATTAAACTGACCTCATAGTGAGAAAGAAATGATATAAATGTAAGCTTTTTAAATCTCATTCACGATGACTAGAGATTCCAATTGCTATGAAGTTTAAGGGTAAATTCAGTTATGACGTCTAACGAGTGTCACTCTCTTCTTTACAATGAATTTAATACAAAAATATGATAAAGCACACAGTCCCCTTATTTACCATAACAGATATACATCATAATTGAATAATCCCCTAAGAGAATAACTGTTCAAGTAACAGAGTGGGCGTGAAGTACGGCCGAGACCCATATCGACACAGTTCAAAAGTTATACCTAATTTATGTCATAATTATGTCAGCTACAAAAACACTTACTTTGAATTTTGTCACCAAAGTACACCACAGAAAATTAATTTTCAATTTTGGACTAGGTGCGACCCTAGTCAAAATCAATTTTGTCACCTTTTTCTTCGAGGGTTAATACAAATGGATTGAAACTTTGCATAAATATTCTAGGGTCGCCCCTAGTCCAAAATTGAAAATGTATTTCCTACTTGGTTCTTTGCTCAAAAAAATTTTAGAATGTTTTATTTGTATTTGTTTTAAGCACTAGAATAATTATTCAAAGTTTCAATCCAATTGGATAAACCCTCGAAGAAAAAAGTGACAAAATTGATTTTGACTAGGGTCGCCCCTAGTCCAAAATTGAAAATGTATTTCCTACTTGGTTCTTTGCTCAAAAAAATTTTAGGATGTTTTATTTGTATTTGTTTTTAGCACTAGAATAATTATTCAAAGTTTCAATCCAATTGGATAAACCCTCGAAGAAAAAAGTGACAAAATTGATTTTGACTAGGGTCGCCCCTAGTCCAAAATTGAAAATGTATTTCCTACTTGGTTCTTTGCTCAAAAAAATTTTAGAATGTTTTATTTGTATTTGTTTTAAGTACTAGAATATTTATGCAAAGTTTCAATCCATTTGGATAAACCCTCGAAGAAAAAAGTGACAAAATTGATTTTGACTAGGGTCGCCCCTAGTTCAAAATTGAAAATGTATTTCCTACTTGGTTCTTTGCTCAAAAAAATTTTAGGATGTTTTATCTGTATTTGTTTTAAGTACTAGAATATTTATGCAAAGTTTCAATCCATTTGGATAAACCCTCAAAGAAAAAAGTGACAAAATTGATTTTGACTAAGGTCGCCCTCAGTCTAGTGTTTTAAGCACTAGAATATTTATGCAAAGTTTCAATCCATTTGGATAAACCCTCAAAGAAAAAAGTGACAAAATTGATTTTGACTAGGGTCGCCCCTAGTCCAAAATTGAAAATGTATTTCCTACTTGGTTCTTTGCTCAAAAAAATTTTAGGATGTTTTATTTGTATTTGTTTTAAGTACTAGAATATTTATGCAAAGTTTCAATCCATTTGGATAAACCCTCGAAGAAGAAAGTGACAAAATTGATTTTGACTAGGGTCGCCCCTAGTCCAAAATTGAAAATGTATTTCCTACTTGGTTCTTTGCTCAAAAAAATTTAAGGATGCTTTATTTGTATTTGTTTTAAGCACTAGAATATGTATGCAAAGTTTCAATCCATTTGGATAAACCCTCGAAGAAAAAAGTGACAAAATTGATTTTGACTAGGGTCGCCCCTAGTCCAAAATTGAAAATGTATTTCCTTCTTGGTTCTTTGCTCAAAAATATTTTAGGATGTTTTATTTTTATTTGTTTTAAGTACTAGAATATTTATGCAAAGTTTCAATCCATTTGTATAAACCCTCGAAGAAAAAAGTGACAAAATTGATTTTGACTAGGGTCGCCCCTAGTTCAAAATTGAAAATGTATTTCCTACTTGGTTCTTTGCTCAAAAAAATTTTAGAATGTTTTATTTGTATTTGTTTTAAGCACTAGAATATTTATGCAAAGTTTTAATCCATTTGGATAAACCCTCAAAGAAAAAAGTGACAAAATTGATTTTGACTAGGGTCGCCCTTAGTCTAGTGTTTTAAGCACTAGAATATTTATGCAAAGTTTCAATCCATTTGTATAAACCCTCAAAGAAAAAAGTGACAAAATTGATTTTGACGAGGGTCACCCCTAGTCCAAAATTGAAAATGTATTTCCTACTTGGTTCTTTGCTCAAAAAATTTTTAGGATGTTTTATTTGTATTTGTTTTAAGTACTAGAATATTTATGCAAAGTTTCAATCCATTTGGATAAACCCTCGAAGAAAAAAGTGACAAAATTGATTTTGACTAGGGTCGCCCCTAGTCCAAAATTGAAAATGTATTTCCTACTTGGTTCTTTGCTCAAAAAAATTTAAGGATGCTTTATTTGTATTTGTTTTAAGCACTAGAATATGTATGCAAAGTTTCAATCCATTTGGATAAACCCTCGAAGAAAAAAGTGACAAAATTGATTTTGACTAGGGTCGCCCCTAGTCCAAAATTGAAAATGTATTTCCTTCTTGGTTCTTTGCTCAAAAATATTTTAGGATGTTTTATTTTTATTTGTTTTAAGTACTAGAATATTTATGCAAAGTTTCAATCCATTTGTATAAACCCTCGAAGAAAAAAGTGACAAAATTGATTTTGACTAGGGTCGCCCCTAGTTCAAAATTGAAAATGTATTTCCTACTTGGTTCTTTGCTCAAAAAAATTTTAGAATGTTTTATTTGTATTTGTTTTAAGCACTAGAATATTTATGCAAAGTTTTAATCCATTTGGATAAACCCTCAAAGAAAAAAGTGACAAAATTGATTTTGACTAGGGTCGCCCTTAGTCTAGTGTTTTAAGCACTAGAATATTTATGCAAAGTTTCAATCCATTTGTATAAACCCTCAAAGAAAAAAGTGACAAAATTGATTTTGACGAGGGTCACCCCTAGTCCAAAATTGAAAATGTATTTCCTACTTGGTTCTTTGCTCAAAAAAATTTTAGGATGTTTTATTTGTATTTGTTTTAAGTACTAGAATATTTATGCAAAGTTTCAATCCATTTGGATAAACCCTCGAAGAAAAAAGTGACAAAATTGATTTTGACTAGGGTCGCCCCTAGTCCAAAATTGAAAATGTATTTCCTACTTGGTTCTTTGCTCAAAAAAATTTAAGGATGCTTTATTTGTATTTGTTTTAAGCACTAGAATATGTATGCAAAGTTTCAATCCATTTGGATAAACCCTCGAAGAAAAAAGTGACAAAATTGATTTTGACTAGGGTCGCCCTTAGTCTAGTGTTTTAAGCACTAGAATATTTATGCAAAGTTTCAATCCATTTGTATAAACCCTCAAAGAAAAAAGTGACAAAATTGATTTTGACGAGGGTCACCCCTAGTCCAAAATTGAAAATGTATTTCCTACTTGGTTCTTTGCTCAAAAAAATTTTAGGATGTTTTATTTGTATTTGTTTTAAGTACTAGAATATTTATGCAAAGTTTCAATCCATTTGGATAAACCCTCAAAAAAAAGGACTAGGGTCGCACCTAGTCCAAAATTGAAAATTAATTTTCTGTGGTGTTCTTAAGTCAAAAAAATTTTTTGGATGTTTTATTTGAATTGACATAATTCTGACATAAATCACATACCAATATTACTTTTTGTAATGCATAGCTTAAAAAAAATCGAAATCTAAAATTTCGACTACCCCATCTGAATTTTGTTCATACTCTTCACTGTGGAAACCAAACAACAAATTCTTTATCTTAAAATACTTGACAAAATAGCGACATAATTCAGAATTAATTACTTTTTAATAATATTTTAACATTTACGAGAAAATGTGGTTCAAATAAGTGTGAAGTATGGCCGAGATTTGGACCAAAAACAGCTATACTGGTTCATAGTGTTCCCGAGGGTGACAAAATTCAAAGTAAGTGTTTTTGTATCTGACATAATTATGACATAAATTAGGTATAACTTTTGAACTGTGTCGATATGGGTCTCAGCCGTACTTCACGCCCACGGTATCAGACAAAAGAATTTCAATAATTTCTGAATCAAAAAATCGAAACATTTTCATAAATTATGCAATAGTCGTGTGCATTCCACGGTTTCAGAATTTTCACAATTTAAATCACTTTCTCAGATACTTGCAATGAATATAAATTCTTTACCGAAACGTGTACAATGTACGGTTGGGTAACTTTCAGAACATTGCATGACGAAGGCATTAACAACCTTTTAAAATTCAATAAACGCATAAATCTTAACGATTTTAGACACGTAAATCAATTTATCAAAAAAAAATTCAAAAGTCGTGTAAATCATACAGCTTTCCATTAACTGTTAACAGTCATTTTAATTCTGCAGTTATTACATCCCACATTGTTTCATTATTTCAGCATTAATTATGAGAATCGTGTGAATTTCACGAGTTCTGTAATTAATTATTTTAATGCCAGAAATAAGTGTGAATATAGTGCGGATTTTTGTATGAACTAAAGGGAGAGAGATTCACAAAAAGAAAAATCAATTATGATAGCCAGCATGCTGAAGTCTCCCACCGAGAAACATTTTTAGCAAGCTCCCTTTGTACACGTAATGAGGTCATAAATTTCTTTGTTTTATTTATAGTGCTGAATGTCATAGCAGTAATTATTAGATAATAATCTTTTAGACATCTTAATAGTTTTTACGGCAATGTCGCCACTCCCTAGTGCTGACTTCCTAAACATCTACTCAATTTATGCTAAGCTCTTCACCTCTACTCGTGCGAATGATTGTGCAATACCTATTTAATACCTTCTTTCATAATTAATTTACAATTAAAATTCTCAACTATTTCTGTTTTCTGTTTCGGGAGTCGTTCGTACATGATGTGTCTATCAAGCAACTATTTTGTCCTAATTTTTATCAAAGATAGCAACACAAATAGTTTTTCAGTCTAAGAGCTTTCTTGGAATTTTCCAGCTCCAAATCTGTTCAGCATTGTTCAGGTTCAGCCGAGATGTTTGAAAATTAAAATTTACTTTAATTATAATTTTTTGGGAAGCTAGATTGCCACCAAATCTTCAAATTAGCGATTAGTGAGCTTCTAGCATATATCGCATTAGAGTATCAAAGATAAGTTTTCGTAGGCTAGGAAACCCTAGAAGCAACAATATGAACACAGGACGTTAGGATATAATCTAGATTCTTCTAATATCTCAACTATATGCATCTAAAGTAACTCACAGTGTAAACTCGAATAATTGTGAGTATGCTTAACTGAACTACAATAAGTGCGGCACCCTAGATGTTAGACATCACTAATCAACGACCCTTTCGACTGTTGTTTGCTTTTAAAACTACTGAATAAGGTGAAAATGCGAAGCCACCAAACCAATTCGAACAATTTATTCTTCATAAAGAATTTTTTTGCATTTATTAAATCATAAACTGAGTGAGCGAGAATGGTGCGATTGTTAGGTATTATAATAATATTCACAATACTTGCTGCTCAGCCTTTTATGTACATGTAAATAGAAAAAAATGTCTGCTTTACTGTTAGTTTAAAGCAAATTATTTTTTGCCAATTGTCTCTCCGCTTTGTGCACTGCTTTATTAGTGACAATGAAATTCTACAGCACATGAAAAAAACAAAAATGTTAGAGACAGACAATCAAAGTGTTATCGACACAATTTCTTTGAATATGTCTGAATTAAAAGATAAGTGGCGAACCACTAACATTTGATGAATAAAAACCGTTTGAATGTGGTATGCTTCATTTAAATATGAATGGTCGCTGAAATACCTTTTCATTTTCTGTGCTACAAGCACCGTTTTATCTACCAAGTGTCCGAAGATCAGGGGTTCTTAATATTTTTGATTTCTACTATTTTATATACCCAATGATTGTATCATTAGGATGAAGATAGAATGGCTCAAATTGAGGCCAATGCCAATTTTTCCTGATTTAACAGTCTCCTATCTCTAATTTAAACCAACTACACAAAAGAGGTCGAGAACGACTGACGTAGATAGAGAAAACAGACGAGAAATAAAAAACAACACACAACAAGTAAAAGATTCCCATCACCAGATGAAAGTATCACAATCACATCTTCTCCTAAAAAAGTTTCATTTCACTGAGACGTTGATGCTAGTAATAAAAGTTAAAGATTTATGAAAAATACACACTCCATCAAAATCCATTAATAATAATCCAAAATTTCACAATATTATTTTATGTACAGCCTACAACATTAGCTATATAGTGATTGACGAGAGGTGAGTGAAGAAGAAATTAAAGGTAATGAAAAGTACAAGACATAATAAACAATAAGTTTTATGCGAACCTTTTGACAATCCAATACAACTGAATGATCTTCTGCGGGTTACTTGATTATGTGACTTATTATGGTTATTGATCTTAAGATTAATGCAACTCAATCCACTTTTATCAGTATCTTCACCTTTAACAGTGACACATATATTTTTTGCATAAATTAATTAAAAACTTTCCATTTCTTTTTTTTTTGTTCATTAATGATTTTTTTAAAAAGTAGAATGTAATGTTATCCTTAATTAACATTTAGTTTTGGTATATTTGGTTATTCTTAATATAATGTAGAATAAGGGATGTAGGAGGTGGGGTGGGATTCAGACATTGGATTAATTTGTATATAGAGAAATTTAATACTTTCGGATTTTCTTCTGTAAACTTATATATTTTTTTTATCGGTTTATGTTCATGTCATGTCACAGTAATAATAAAAAGACAATAGGAACGAAAAATAAATTAAATTAAAGTAACATGAAATAAAATTGTATGTAGGGAATGATAGTTCGAGCATTCGATAAGAGACATAAAAAATGGAAAAAAAAAATACTATAAAATGACATTAAGATAAACGAACTAGGCTAGAATTACGAAATTCATCCCATTCCATCCTATGTAGTCAGTCAGACCGTGACACATTTAAGAAATTTGTTTTAGAGACCGATCAATTATTTTCTAGTACTTGACATGATGAATGAATGGAACATTATCGTCTTAATTCATTCATTCTTTAACATGCCATTCAAGTTCAAGTCATAGACTAAGTGGATGATTACAGAACAATATAATGTTATATTTCGTATAAAGGTCTCGTCATTTTACATTATTTACTCATTTTGAGTACTTAAAAGAGACATACACGAAGAGAAATTTTGAGGATGGGCTGACTTGGGACGGATGATTAATATTGAATGTAAAATAAAATTACAGCGAAGGAAAATATGAGAAAAATTTTAATTTAATAATTTTTTATTCACCTTCCGTTTTTCGAAAAAATCCCTCTTGACGCTCACGGAAAAACAGATTGCCTTCTTTTTCACATTTGTGTTGAGAGGCTAATTCCTTAATCTCTTTCACATTAAATCGCATTTTTTTATTTTTTTAAATTTTCATTTTTTTATTTTAATTTTCTTCAATTTTTCTCAGCCTTATTGAAAGATATAGTAGGCTTATTTATTAGCATAAACTAGATTACATTCATTTATTGATTCACTACACACTATATAGAATGTTTAATTAATTTACAGTCTCTTTAGTACGTTTTATCTTTGCAAAACTTAAATCCAGAATGAAAATATTCCCCTTTTGCGTTGAGCAACAGTGTAGGGGAGCATCAACTAAAGTTTTTCATACATTTATGCTACCTGAGCAAAAGTGAGCAAAAGATGTAAACATTGAAATTGCGGTGTAAAATTTTACAAAGAATCATTAATTTAACTAGTTATTACGTAAAGATTAAGTCATTTAACAATGGTCCACGTACCATTAGCAATCAATGAAGAGATTGCACTTGAAGGATTAGATGGAATTACTCTAGAAAGTAAGAAAATTAAATAAATCAATTTATACGAATTTTCTTTAAACATTTTTGCACATTTTCAGGTTTTTGGTTCCGGATGTCTGAGAGAATGCAATGGCCACTTCCTTTTAATGATAGATTTAAAGCTGAGCTTTGGAAAATCATTTTAAAACGAGATTATTTTGAATTTTATGAAATTGAAGCACCAAGAAAATGCGTTGGACGATTAAATAGAATTCAATATCAAAGTCACGATGAACAAGCAACAAAAGAAGTCCATGAATTCTATCATATATACTCATATGCTCCAGTCGATGATCTTGAAGTACGAGGATCATGCAGTGAATTTAAGACACGTAAAAAATTGAACCGAGATGAACTCAAAAATTTGTCATTTCTCGAAGTTGTGAAACTGTTTGGCGAAAAATTGGTAGTTGTAGCGAGTCAGAAGTTACGAAATTCAGTTTTAATTCCTTCAAATATTGGTCGAGAATGTGACATTAATAATCATGTTTACTGTATTTTGGAACGAATTGGACGATCGCGATATTTTGGAGAAACAACATCCGGACCATATTCATTGAATGACTATGTTAAAGACAGCAAGTTGCTTCATTACTTCCGAATGTGCTTACTAAAGAATAATCTTGTATTTCGTCAGCAAATTTTTCAAAGAATGAATAGTAAATCACAAATTACACAACTCTTTCACATTCCCAAATATTATGTCGTTGTTCGTACTTCAGATTTGCTACAAGTCGAGAAATTAGTGACATTCTTATTTACTAAGCCTAATAATATTGCACCACATGAAGAAGTCCGAAATCACTTAAATTTAAAATCACAAAAGATTCTTGTTCAATTAATGAGAGCTAAAAGTGAAATATTCGAGTATAAAAAGTTTCCATATCGTACTCTTTATCCTAATGCTACAAAAAAGGAATATGCTTCAAAAAATGGCATAGAAAAGACCATTTTAGCCATCAGACTCATCGATCCAAATTTAAATATTTTCCAATTGTATGAAAATGAAGAAAAAGACACGTCAATTGATGAAGAAAAGGAAGGATTTTTGGATGTTTCAAGGCAAAAACTTAAAATTCCGTTGGTTTATCAAGTTATTCAAAAAATAACAGAATCAGGCTGTCGAGGAATCTCACAATCAGAACTTGGAAAATATTTTGGATTGTCGAAATTAAATTCGAGAGCTGTACTTAGAAAAGTCCTTAGAACTGAAATAACTACTTACATGCGAGATGAAGGACGTCAAAGAATCACAATGTAAGTTTTATTTTTCAAAAAAACATAATGGGCCTCGTCACAAAAAAATTGTACATGAGTGACGCTTTGTTATTCTTGATTATCTCCTTATCCTTAAAAGTGACAAATTTAAGAGTTACTTTTTTGAAAAGAGAATTAAAATCCCCATCTATTGTTGTACAATTCACTTCTTGAAACTTTATAGTTGCTTAAAACAATCACTTTAACTAAGCGTCACTCATGTACAATTTTTGGGAATTTTGCTATATTTTCATTAATGTTTATTGATATATCTCCAAATGTATTTTTTTACGTCCTAAATTCAATTCTGTTCTTTTTGAGTTGATAAAAATTTAAAATTGTTGCGTTAACATACCTAAATGGACAAATTTAAGCTATACTTTTTGTAACGGTTTTAACTCTTTTGAATTTTTTCGGTTGTAATTTGTTTGTTTACAAACAAAAATTGAAATGAAATTTGAAAAGTCACGAAAATATCACCCAATAATGATGTGAAAGCTCTTTAAATAGTCAAAACAGCTAATGTATCATCTACTTTTCGTATTCAAATCATAATATTTGGGATTAATGATTGAATAATTAAGAATTTTGAGAATTTAATTTTTGATGTTTTGTATGATAGTGTTAGTGAAAAATTTAAATAATTTTTTTCCGTTAAGCAGAAATTCTTAAAAATATGTCGAGGCCCTTATATAGATGTCGATTCTTAATGCTAATTTTCAACATTTTCTATCCTAAAATAAAGGTTCATCAGCAAAAAGTTTGCAGGCGAAAAGAGCCAAGTGTTTGTGAATCAAGTGGCAAAGTTATTTAAGAAAGCAGAAGAAAATATAACTCAATCATCAACAATTCAAATGCTTCCATACGAATGTCTAGAAGCAACACAAGATGAAACCATACTTACTCCAATACCATCAACAGAATCCTCTCCAACAAAAGTTTCAATTCCAATGAATTTTTTAAAGCAAGAAGCGAGTTCTAGTATTATTCAATTTGTTCAACATCCAGAAAATGAGTCATATCAGCAAATTTTAGATATGGAAGGAAGGGATGACATTAATAAAGTCATTTTAATGCCCAACGATGATTATTCATTTGTTGATAATGTTGAGAGTGTTCAGGTATCGTTAAAATTCCTTAATAATATCCCTGGACTACAAAAACAAAGCACTGGATTACAAGAAGAATTGGCACGAAATCGAGTGAGCGAAAAAGTACTATTTAGAATGAACGTAATCCTTGATGCAATTAGAGATAAAGCTGTTATGGATCCCGTGAATCTTTTAATGGAATTAAGAAAAGCTGAAGTAAATTTTACAGAAAATATTTGTCGAAAATCCTTACTAAGTTTATGCTCGAGACTTGCGGCTGATAATTTCATTAAAGTCATTGAAATGGAACTGACATCAGCAACAAAAACGGTAAAATTATTATTTTTTGGAGAACCAACAATAACATTTGATATGCGATGTTGGCATTCAATTATTGAGGAACAGAAAATACAACATTTTGTAGCTATGACAAAACCAATTAAAGAGCAAGATGATGTTATTCAAATCCCTAGTAATAATAGCTTTTTATCGAAAACATCTGTTGGATATGATGAACTTTCAGCACAATCACCAATTCATGAACATTTCCCTAAATTTATGAAGTATAGATTATTCCATGAATTTCTATTTTATTTAATTTATGATTATCCAGTGGAAGTAGAGAAGATTCATGTCAAAAAGGCTGTAGAAATTTGGCGACGAGAGAATCAAAGGCTTACAGACTATGATGAAATTGCTGAAAAAATTTCAATTTGTTATAGCACAGACATAAATTGGAAAATGTTTATCCCACCTTTAAATCCACAATTTGGATATGAAAATGGATGGGGATTTTTACGTGACATTATTCATAGAATTCCATTAATTCTTTATGTCAAATTTACACGCTATGGAAATGCTGTGCCTGAAATTACTGACTATTTATCACATCCAATCAAAAGTAATTATTTGCTGCACTTTTTACCGCCAAAAATCTTCTCAAAACTCACTCAAGGACGTAAATTCATTCAAGTCATTGTTGAGATTTGTAAACGATTATGTTGGATGGGAATTTTACAATTTGGACCAATGCGAACAAAAGAAATTGATCAAAGCTTTATTTATTTAAATCGTAATGCTATGCTATTGGATACACGAAGTTCTGAGCCTGGATACATGGAAGTATCTGAAAAGGAATATCCAAAATTATGCTTTACATTCAATTCAAGTGAGGATGTCTCTAATTATTGGTCATCAATGTTTGAAATCTGCATAAATACTCGAATTAATCAAAAATCACTAGCATTTGGACAAACAATCATTCTCGAACAATTGCACACAAAACCTGACTTGCTTAAGACTTTAAAACCACAAACAGCTATATCGGCTATTAGAAATGATAATGGAGAAATTCCTGGTGATCGAAAAGGCGCAGGAGGACTCGATAAAGGTGAGTCTTTAATTTATTTATATATTAGATATTAAGCATTAATTTTATTAAGTCTATTTTTGTCATGATTCTATTCTTCAAATTTGCGTTTATTACGCTTGTTTGTCTTTGGTTTAACTACACATTTGATGAGTTGTTTAGCGTCATTTTCTTTAGCAGCAACTTGGAACTGATTAAATAAGGCATAACTTCTATAAATAGACTTTAATTGCTGCAATATGATAATAGTTCTCAGATAATTTTCATTGTCCTTTATTCCTTCAAAATAAGCATTTAATTCAACAGCATGTTCATTCATTTTGTTAATTATATCAATATCAACTAATTGAGTTCCTGGATCTTAATTTTTTTTTTGTGTCATGTGTTAGCTGTTAAATAACTTTATTAACGTTGTAATTGACTAATCAACTCGATTCAATGAAAACTGTTGCAAAAAATGCTATTTTAACCAAAAAGTTCGGGAAAAATGTAATCATAAAATTCAAATTTTAAAAATACGTTATTATTTCTCATACAGGATTTATGTCACATTTGAAGCAAAGTTGGTCACGATCTATAGACCGTAAAAAACGTCCAATATCAGCATTGACAATCGAGAGAAAACCAAAAGCTGTAAAGAAGGAAAAGGCAGAAAAAGTTAAATCTGAAAGTAAGAAAAAGAAGTCTGCAAAAGTGAAGGCAGCAGAAACGCAAATACAAAGATCGAAAGCAATTTTGCAGTCAAACTTTAAAGGTGTCAGCAGTAAATCGAAAATAATTAGAAAAGTAAAGCCAAAGAAACAAACTGTAAAAGAATTGAAGAAAAAGTCGGAGTTATACGATGACATTGACAAAGAGGCTCTCAAATTAATGAAAACTTTGCGTGTTGTTTGGAGTGATGTTGAGGATAAGACACTGTCTCTCGCAAAAGTAGCTATGAAATTTGCATTTCCGAATGATAATCAATGCGCTCATTACGTCAATTTTGGATTAATTCGTGACATATTACATTGGCGAACTGAAAAGGCTTTAAATAAGACATCACGTGCATGTCAGCGTCGAATGATGTACCTAATGAAAAATAATAAAGCTTTTCGTGAACAAACATTTTTATATCTTGAGGAACTTCGCGCAAATCGAGAATTTTCTAATAAATACAGTAACTTTGCGGAGAGATTAAAGAAGCTTTATAATCAGGAACAAATCTATCTTGTCGTTAAAGTTCATTTAGTTGAAATGATACATAGAATGCATCAAATATTTTTAAAACAATATCTCTCGAATCCGCTGGATATAACATGTAGAATGTATGAAATAATATTGGATATACCGAGCGATTATGAGGAATTAAATATGAAATATAAAATTGTTAATCCAAATGCAAATTTGGACGATTCAAAGTTCCATGAGCCAACAAATGTGAATGAGATTGAAATATCGATTTTGGCATCGCTTATTCATGGTGCTGTCTGTTCCACAAATGATAAAATAAGCAGCACATTCTTCTTACATGAGACTTATAGTAAATTCAGTGATGATAATTTAGGTGCAGCTGTAAATTTATTAAGACGTCTAACAATAATCAGTTTAAATAAGAATCATCGAAGTAAGAAGTTAATTATGCCTCGAACAATCTCTCCATTTCATTTATCAAATCGTTATGCATCACAATTAATGAGTATTCATGTTCCTGTCGAACTTTATGATGAATATTTACTTGCTGTAAGAGATATATCTGCTGAAAATAATCTTTATCAAATGAAATCTATTAATTGTGGCTGGATATACATGATTGCTGAGTTTTTAAATAAGAATTTAATTAGTATGAAGACAGAACGATCCGACAAATCAACCGTTATGCTTGACACACCGTTTAGAAAAAAGACAAATTTTGAGAAAATTTCCGACAATTATTTAATGATGAAAAATAAGAAGGAACAAACGGACGAAAAAGAAAAGAAAATAAAGACAGTCCGTTTCCATGCTGACAATAATAGCGACGAGAAATTCATTTATCATGATGATCCAATAGAAATTTTCTGTAAATTGGACACAATGTACCTTCACATCTTTTGCATTTTACAGGCAATTGAGCACAATGAGAATGTTAAAATTGATGACTGGACATTCACAGAAAATGATAAATGTTCTCTGAAAAATTGTGTGATTCGATCTGGAAATAATTTCTCAATTGAAGTCCAGAAAATTGCTTGTCATGGATACCAAATAATTAAGTATATCCTCAACAATAGTGATGAAGGACCTAGTAAATATGATGAAAGTCTAATCACTAAATTTAATCTAGTTAAATTCTTTGATTCCGTTATTAAAAAGTATCAAGAAGAAAATTTGGAAAATTCAAAGAAAATTTTTGGAAAAGTCGAATCAAATTTTGATATTAGACAGAAAATCTCAACAATATATTTACTTGACTGTATTCAGAGGATTGCAACAGAACTAGAAGATGAGGATGGAGCCTGGTTGAGTGAATATAAGAAAATTTCACATCACAAAACTGACGATGAAGTATTTTATGATGACGAGGACATAGATCAATCTAAAATTGTCCCAAAAGCAACAAGTCAAATGAATGTTAACAAATCTGCAGATTCCTTTGTTGTCAATCTATCATCTCTGCATATATCTCTTAATATTAGTAAAGACACCAAGACAATAATTGATGGTGATCCTTACAATCAGAATTTAGTTCCATTTGATGAAGATTTTCGTTCAAAATTAATTGAAGAAATTAAAATGAAGCATGTTTGGATGCCTGAAGATATACAAAAGAGATCACTTCAAGATGATTTGGATACAATGATTATTTCAAAAGAAAATCGTACTCAAATGGAATTGATCCACAATTTCCTTAAGTCTAAGAATCAAATTGGAGCAAATATGTATGAAATTATAGATTTAATCAATAGTGACGATAAAGAACAATTGCATAAGAATATGGAAACATTAATTAAATTAAAATATATTCTTAGAACTGGAGTTAATGAAATTAGATTTGTCCACAAAGATTATGCCTTATTTTGGCTTATTGACACATTTTATCTTACTGCAAAAGATTCGGATGAAGTTTTGGAACCGCCAGCTAAGAAACCAAGATCGAGTGATCGTCAAAGCACACAAGAAGGACCCAATACTGACAATGAAGAAACACCAATGGAAGTAGACGAGTCAATTGCCACAAAACCTAAAGAACAGACAGAAGAAACTGAGAAAAATCTAAAACGTAATCCATTCTTTTTACTTCCATGTCCATGGATTCGTGTTGGATCTTTAAATAGAACTTTAAATCGAAGGTGCATTGATAAATGGCTTGGATCTATCCTCAATTATTTATCTGTTAATCCTGGAATCATATTGAGTGATTTATGCTCAAAATTCAATGTAATAACACCTGTTCATATTCGGAATTTATGTGAAATGTTGGAAATGATTGGCTGTATCAAATTAATGGCTTTTCCAGAGCTGGATGTAAACATTTTCTCGGATTACGATACTCACGATGATGGTTTGTAATCTACCGGAATTAATTATAATTATAATTTGAATTTTATTACTTGTTGCTCAGCTTTAAAAACGAACTTTTTTAATTCAAATTTTGTTGCTCAGGTTTTGAATTTTGAAATGTCGTTAAATTTCTGAATTCAAATTAACCGTTAATCTTTTCTTTTTACAGAAGCAAGACCTGCTACATTTTTGGACGCTTTTGATCGCACATATATTGAAGTAAATCCCGACGCATTTCTACGATTGACATATTTCATTGGCAAAAAGAGGTACAAGTTGCCATTCATCTAAGAATAACAAGGATCTGTAAATAATAGAATTAAAAAACATAAGAATTTAGTAATTTTGTTATATATTTTTAACTTAATGAATAAAAAATTTCATTACAAAGACAAAATTGATTCAAAAAAAAAAAGTAGTATTTTTCCAGATTTCTTATTTATATTCCATGACAAAATATGAGACAACAATGATTTACTTAAGAAAACATGGCTTTAACGATCAAATAGATTAAAGTGACAAAAATATATGTAATAAAACCTAAACTAGATGCTCCAAAAAAGATCCAACCAATTATGAAGGATGCAACAAAAATAGCTAAATTTGTCTTATTAGCAAACTTTCTTAGACTTAGACGTGGTCCAATTTGATGGATTTGAAGTTCCGCATATCCAGCAGATTTATCAAAAACTCTCGTTTCAACAGGTGGCGATAAGATTTGTCTTCCAACTTTTCCATAAAAATCTTCTCGATTCCAAATTGCATTTATTTCATTTCCAAACATTTCATTAAATTTACTCGTTATTGGATAGAATAATCGAACTAATAGTCTTACTTCGCTACTCATTATTGGCAATAATTCTGGATCTCCTGTATAATTAATTTGACTCAATTGACTTTTCATATAACTCGGTGTAATGTTCATAAAACTTGTATTTGTCTCATTATCACTATCCTCAAATATTGTCGCATTTGCTGTATACTCTTTCGTTGCCTCCTCAATTGGAATACTATACATTGGCGATAAAATATCGAGTATAAAATCGAGGTAGATTGGTGTCTTTTTCTTTTCATCCAATGTTCTTGAAAATGAGAAATTCAAGGAACTCAACCAACCAATAAACTTTAGAAATCTTTCCCATAATGTTATGTTTTGCTGCATTAGCTTTTCCATATTACCAATTTCGAAGTTTGTTTTCATCTTTGCCGAATATACACGTTGCATTAATTCATAAATTTGCATGGTTACTTCATCACTGAACATGCATATATAGGTGCTATCATCAAACAGTGCCGATTGACTAGCATGACGATGTAACGATGCAAATTTATCGCCTGAACGATTCATTGAATTATTTGGTGAACGTGCTGTATTTGAAGTTTCATTTATATATGATGAATGTTGTGATCTATGGACTGAATTGCTGTTAATTAAGATTCTCTCATAATTTTTAAGAATCTCGCTAGGTTGACGAAATACTTTTAAGATTCTAAACAGCATGTGAGCATTCTTGTTGAGTCCTAAATCCATTTTTAGAAATCGTGGAAGTAATCGCACAAATATTTGTGTAAAACTTAATAAATTCTCATTTATAAATGTCTTAAAACGATCTGGGATATCGATGATGTCATTATTTAAATTGTTTAAATTTCGATTATGTAAATAACGCCATGGTTGGATGTACGAGAGCCAAAGTTCAATAACGTTAATAAAAGAAGTATCTAAAGGCCAGCGTGCCATTATTGTCTTTAAAAATGAATACATTCGTGCATTTAACAAGTTCTGTGATTGTTGACGTAAAATGGATAAACTTGATGAATCTTGTTCTGCACAATTTCCAAAATAATGTAATTGTTTGACCAGAATTCTTAATAAACGAATAAATTCATTAGATGGCAATTCGTATGTCTCGTCCATATCATATCTTAGCCAGCAGTCGATGAAAAGCATTAAAACAGTCTCACTACGCCAATTTGCAGAACTGCTTCTTGTTCCTTCAAGTCGAACATCTCGTTGATTTGTTGGACTTGGAATTTGATGTGATAATGATGAAAGAAGTAGATATTTTGGCTGTCTCATTGGTGCAATTGAAGATGAAATTATTGGAGCTGGATGTTTAATTGGTGAGGCATCAATTTGAGGATAAACGACTGAGTTTGGATCATTTGGGAGGAAGTTACACAAGTAATCAGCTACAAGGTTGAAATAAACAGTCATTGTATTCTCATTATTAACAGTCATTGCGGCTGCAGATATTTTATGCAAGTTCTTGGTTCCATAAGCCACAAAATGTAGGATAAAGTAGTCAAATGCATCTGAAAGGAAGTAAAATAGTCAGATTAAATAGGATCCAGCAAAAATGATCCAGTAACGTACTCAAAGACAACATTTTAGGCTGGAAATGATCAGTGCTAATGAGCTTTGTGTAGAATCCATCGATTCTAGCTCCTTCCAACATCGATTTAAGGGAACGAGGTAGATCTGGAAAGGCATACTCAAATTTTGCAGTATGAAGCCGGTAAATTAATCGAAAAAATGTTTCATGTGGATTGAAAAAGTTATAAAGCATATAATATTCAGATGATTCTGCAGTAATCGTGCGTAGTCCCCATCCAACATTGTTTGATGGATTGATCCCAAATATATTTTGTACTAATGCTGGAAAGAATGCCTGTAAAATTGTAAGAAAACTTATTTATCTTTAAAATGTTTGTTTAAGCGCAAAAAAATCACCTGCAAATCCTTAATTGGACCTGTTTCAATGCAGAACTTCAATTGCTGTATTCTCTCAGCAAGCGGAAGATTCAAAATATCAAGTAAACGCGTTTGTAATTGATACATTATGTTAATTTAACTATATTTCTTTAATTTTCGTAATAAATGCTGAACTTAAACAAAAACAATAGTGCTCAAGTCTACTCTATTGTTGGGCTAAAATTTGTAAACAGCATGGCCCGACCGTTAAATTTGAAATGTTACAAAAAGGAGCATGTCTGGATTGAAGCTTTAAATCTCTTCAAGGGAATAAATATCAGCTGTGTGGTGTGAAAAAAGGTTTTTCTTTATAATTTAGTCTACCAACTACTTTAAAAAATAAGAAAAATTTAAAAATTATGAATTATCTTAGAGATTAGATATAGTTAAAAATTTATATAGTGAAAAGTCATAGAAATGGGAAGTGTATCTTCTTTATTTCAATGGAATTGCGAAAAGTGCTTCAACATAAACTCGACGGAGAACATAAAATGCTTTAATTGCAATTTTAAAAGAAAACTCATTAATCCAACCGAGAATAAAGGGTAAAGAATTGTCTAAAGTCTACAAAATACTTCATTAAAGTCAGTTAAGTCGCACGAAATGGGCTAGAAAGTGTAGAGACGAAATTTTTCTTGTGGAAAATTTTCAAGGAAAAACAAAGATGGAAAATTCTTATGGAAAATTTGCAAAAAAAATTTATTACTGGATCCCATTTTTTCTCATCAAACATCCAGCAAGTGTGACAAAGACTATTGTTGAAATAGTCAGGATCACGTTTTGTGGTGATTTTCGATCGTTAAAAGCTCAACGATCATTAAAAAGCTTTGCTTGAATAAAATCAGCATAAAGTCAAAGGGATGCACACAGAGTAATGACCAAAGTCAAGATTTTATTATTACGGGCCCTCTAGAACTTTATATTTTTTTAGCTGCTCTGTGTGTAAAAACATAAAAAATAATAAAAAGTTGAGGAAGGAACGGAAAAATTACTTTTTGTGTGCTCTCGTTTATTAATTAAAATTAATTTAATTAAAGCACGAGACAAACGAAATTAGATTCTCATTTTCTTAAACGAGGTAATGATGTTTAATACATGAATAATTCAAGCCAACATCATTTCATATTTATTGATTTTTCACTCAATTAATATGAAAGAAAAAAGACGAACACGAAATTTTGTGTGTGACATAAAAAAAAATCTGTGAAAAGTTCCATTAATATTAATTCTGTTGTGGATACAACATGCATCGTCCGTTGTGTCAAGTCATTAAAGATTGAATTTGTTAGTGTGCTTGTTCTAGTTTAACTCTAATTTTATGGACGGACTCATTATCATTTTTATTTTTATTGTGCAAAAGGGAACAAAAGTGACTAGTGCTAAAAATACATTAAATTGCAAAAGTATACTGTATATCCCTGCTGATTTCTGCATCTCATCTCAGTTTTTTTTTCACATAAAGAAATTTTCCTTTCCTGCTTAATCGATTTTTTCCTTCCTCTCCATTCTTTATTCTCATTTCATACTGTTTGAGCATAAATACTTAGTGGAGGTCCTTCATTAATGACGTCAATTTATTGATTATAGTTTTTGGAAACCTCCTACTCCCTCTACCATCTGCCTCTCTATATCACAGGATAAAGTGTCCAGTGTCCCAATTTAATAAACGTCATTCGTGAATAGACCTCCGCTTGTGCATGTACATGTATATCCTCAATTAAGATGTATAGGCAAAAAGAAAAGAAATTCTTCAAACGGCAAATGATGGTGGAATAGGAAGTTGATAATGAGTTTTGGGTTAATGTAATTTAACTAAGCATACACGGGCCAAGTCCTTGAAATTAAGATAAGATTTATGTGCTTTCCAATACAGTATTGTAATTATTTATTTATTTAATTGATAAAGTCAAGCAGCAACAAAAATGTTGGATTAACATGCGGTGGAAAATGTAACAGCTAGGCCACTTAGTATTATTTTGGGGTTTCGCTAATAAAATATTCATGGGACAGCAAGAAATACAAATTTTCTCATGCCGTGCGACTAAACTCGATTTTTATTTACCATACACATCCAATTCATTCTGTACTCATTCTTGTTCTCAATTTGTAGAGTCACAGAGCAACAAATATCGCAGCTACATCACCGACCGAAATCTGTTCAACTGCCGTTTTGTATTAATGATAGTTTAGCATTAGCCCATAAACACTACAATCAGAAGAAAATTAAGCAGATTCGATTTCTCTTCAAACATCGGGAAAATTGCTTATTGCAAAGAAATAATTTAATCAAGCGTTTTCAATCTCAACCTAACGTCTATAGAAATTGGAATTGTGAAGAATGTGGACTGTAAGAAAAACTGTTAATTAAAAATAATAGTCATTTTGATTCCGTTATGATTACTTTATTGTAATTTCGGTTTTCAGTTTAAGTGCATACATTCATATTCATATTGTGTGTGCTGAACTGAATGTGTGAATCACGCAGTGTGATTATGAATTTTTAAAACCAGTGATTATTTTGTGTCTGAAGTGAAGACCGAAAGACAGTAATCTTGTCTCTTTTCGGTGTCAAAAGTTGTTTTCAATTGTATCAAATTTTTGAGGAATTTGACTGTTTAAATTCAATTTTTTGAACCATTCAAATGTTTTTCCTAAAAACAGAATTTGTAAGGTTTTAAAACACTTAAATCGGTTAAGTTTTAAGTTAAAATCCCTTCAATTCCATTCTAAATTCAAAATAATTTGTAATGTTTTCGATTCAAAAAAGCCGTTAGTCACAAATTCAACCAAAGTAATTCTCTTAATTTCTTGTAGATTTAACTCAACGATAACATATTATTGCGTCAACTGTAACTTGGTCAGTGTCCTCGCGCCAATATACAAAGAGAATACGAATAAAAAGGACATAAAAGATGGAGCAAAAAAGTTTGATGGACATGCAAATGCATTACGACGTAGTGTGAGTATGGGCTCATTACCATCTCAACAGAAACGATGTCAATTATGTCTATTTAATCGATACGATTTGCATCCAGCAAAGAAGATATTTGATGAGAAGCTTATATATCAGAATAGGAAAAACGTCACGATAAATAATTATCCGACACTATTTAAATCACCAGGAAGCCTAAAAGATTTTAAAATACCGTTAGAGAAAGAGGAGACAGCCGATACGCATCAATGCACAGTTAATCAGGACAAAAATTCTGTCATTTCATGTAATATTTGTGGTATATGTGGAAAGAATCAAGTGAATGAGAATAGTGGTAGATTTACAATAACAAGAAATAGTAAAAAGTCGTCATTAAAGAATACTAGTCGTCACTCAGTGGATTTAGCATCGAGTGGTGTATCTATAGCTGTTGAAGACTGGACTAATTCAAGTAAACGTAATCAGTTTTCGAGATCAGCAAGCATGCAGAACAACTATTATGAGAATCTCAAGCAGCTTGATAATGCATCAAGCAATAATAATAATAATAATCCACCATACGAGAATAGTGCCATCATTCAAAAGTTTCAAGAGTCGACAGATTTAAATCGCAATAATAAAACGGATGTACTGTATGCAGTGGTTAATAAGCACAATTCTAGTGGTAATGCGAGTAGCAACAACAACAATAATAATAATAATGATAATGATGGAAATGGAAAGAGTGAGCTGCTTTACGAGACAATTAGTGGTAACATAATTAATAATAATCAATTGAAGACATCGTCAACGATTCAATCAATACCGTGCATGACAGGGTCAACAAATAGTGAGGTATATTCGAAAGTATGGAAAGGACCAAAGAAGGAATCGACATGGAAATGCACAAAATGTTCATACGCTTATAACGGACTGTATATTGATCATTGTGATATATGTGACTCATCACGCACGTCATCAGCTCAACAGCAATCATCTAATAATAAAACTAGTAATAATGATAATCAATCGGGTATCACGAAAGACAATTTTAATAATAACAATAATAGCTCGACACCCACACCAAATACTAAATTGGCTATGTCAAAATCTACACATGGATTCGATGAATGTTTTCCATCAAATAATCGGATTCCACCAATGGCATCATTTGAGCAAGATTTAGAAGACGATTTTCAATTTTTGCCAGCAGATTCACCGACCCTTGATACTGAACCAGTTGAAGAATGGGCATGTAAGAAGTGTACTTTAGTGAATTCAGGAACTGCGACTGTCTGTATCGTTTGTGGAGGCTCAAAATTAAAAAGTACTACGGCTGTAGAAGACATGACATTAAGAAAAGGCGAATTTTGGGCTTGTACTGCGTGTACACTAAAAAATTCTCTTGGGACAAATATTTGTATTGCATGTAAAGCAATTCGTCCAATTCCAAATATTACAAAACCATCTAATTTTCGTCCTTACACGGGATCATCGCCTTCGTCAACACCTACTACTCCAGCAAGTGCATGTGAGTTAATTATTCAATGATTTTTATTTTAGCACAATTTATGACTTATTCATGAGGAGCTTTCTAGCTCATCTAGTGAGTGACGGCTGAATTTTAATTTAATTTTATGGTTCTCATGACCCAATTTGAAACATCAAATGTCTCTTTATCTTCCAGTATCAACGGATAATCTAGGAAAATCTCAATTAATGGTTCCATCGTCGAGAGCTAATCGAAGTCCATCACCAAGACATGATCGCTCTGGTGCTATTCCAAAGAGACACAGTACAGGAATGATGTTACCTCAACAACCATCAAGTAGTTCAGGATTATCAAGGAGTGGCAGTGGACATGGAAGTCATTCATCGAGTAGTAAACATTCTCAACAGACACCACCAACTCCAAAAACGTGGGTGTGTCCAGCATGTACGTATGAAAATTCTTCAGCAAGTGTTGTGTGTGAAATATGTTCCAGTCATCGTAAGGCTATTAATGAAGTGATACCAATACCAAGCATGCAGATAGATGATAGCAGACGTGAGAGTAGATTAATGGAGAATCTACGTCAACAAGAAGAGTCAGAGGCACGAGCTAAATGGGAAAACATCATTCAGTATTGTAAAGAAAATAATGAACTTTTTGTCGATGATTCATTTCCTCCGGCAGCTAAATCACTTTATTATAATCCAAATTGTTCATCAAATCTCGAATCAAATCCCGTCGTACAGTGGAGACGCCCAAGTGAGATTAATTGTGATGGTGGCAATTTTCCTTGGGCTGTTTTTCGTACGCCACTTCCATCAGACATTTGTCAAGGTGTTCTTGGCAATTGTTGGCTCCTTTCGGCTCTTGCTGTTTTAGCAGAACGTGAAGATTTAGTCAAAGAAGTGCTAGTTACTAAAGAAGTTTGTCCACAAGGTGCGTATCAGGTGCGTTTATGTAAAGATGGTCGTTGGACAACGGTGCTTATTGATGATCTCTTGCCTTGCGATAAACGTGGACATTTGGTGTATTCGCAAGCAAAACGGAAGCAACTTTATTTACCATTAATTGAGAAAGCAGTTGCAAAAATTCATGGCTGTTATGAAGCTTTAGTATCGGGACGTGCAATCGAAGGCTTAGCGACATTAACAGGCGCTCCATGTGAAAGTTTACCACTTCAACCCAGCTCGATTCCTACAGATGATGAATTAGATAAAGATTTAATATGGGCTCAATTGCTTAGTTCACGACTTGTGAAATTTTTAATGGGTAAATACTTCCCACATCTCACATTCCAATCTGCTATTTCTATACTCAATACATTCTTTTTTCTTCTTCTTCTTATTCTATTCTTAATGGATTTTATAGGGGCTAGTTGTGGAGGTGGAAACATGAAGGTTGATGAGGATGAATATCAAACTAAGGGACTGAGACCGCGTCATGCATATTCTGTATTAGATGTACGGGATATACATGGACATCGTCTATTAAAATTAAGAAATCCTTGGGGACACTATTCATGGAAAGGCGATTGGTCAGATGATTCTGACTTATGGACTGATGAATTAAGAGAAACATTAATGCCTCACGGTGCCTCAGAAGGTGTCTTCTGGATATCATTTGAAGATGTACTAAAGTGAGCCTAATTAATTATTTATCAGTACTATAGAATATGCTAATTAATTGCATCATTTATTTATTCAGGTACTTTGACTGCATAGATATTTGCAAAGTTCGTTCAGGATGGGAGGAAATTAGACTTTTAGGCACATTACAGCCATTATGCTCTTTATCATGTGTACTGTTAACGGTGCTAGAACCAACAGAGGCAGAATTTACTCTTTTCCAAGAAGGACAGAGGTACTTAATGCTTATAATTTCCTCTTGACATGCCAATAAAATTGAGTACATTTTTTTTAGAAATTCTGAAAAGTCTCAACGTTCACAATTGGATCTCTGTGTTGTACTCTTTCGCACAAGAAATCCAGCAAATCCAGAAGTAGGGAGGCTTGTTGAACACAGCAAGCGACAGGTAAACTATTTTCCATTAAATTAGTTTTATTAAAAACCCTACAAATGTTTTGGTAGAATTTATAAGGTTTTTAAACACAAAAATAACGTTTTTCAGGTTCGAGGGTTTGTTGGATGTCACAAAATGCTGGAACGAGATCTGTATTTGTTAGTGTGTTTGGCTTTTAATCATTGGCATACGGGAATCGATGATCCATCTCTATATCCTCAATGCGTACTTGCAATTCATAGCTCAAAACGTTTGATAGTTGAACAAATTACCCCTCCACCCTATTTATTAGCAGATGCAATTATTAGTCTGACTCTACAAAAAGGACAAAGGCATGAGGGAAGAGAAGGAATGACTGCGTATTATTTAACCAAAGGTTTGTTCTTTTCTTCATATTCTTGCTGTATTTTATGGCATTAATATTTTCTTTTTGTGTTTCGCTAGGATGGGCAGGACTTGTTGTGATGGTCGAGAATCGTCATGAAAATAAATGGATTCATGTAAAGTGTGATTGTCAAGAAAGTTATAATGTTGTATCAACACGAGGAGAATTAAAAACCGTAGATTCAGTTCCACCGTTACAACGTCAAGTCATTATAGTTCTTACACAATTGGAGGGATCAGGAGGATTTTCTATAGCACATCGGTTAACTCATCGCCTTGCAAATTCTCGTGGATTGCACGATTGGGGCGAAAATAATAGCCGAGAAACTCATTGTCCTCCAATTGATGACGTTTATGGACTTCATTCACCGAGAATGATTACATAAATTATGATACTAATACACGTATTATAGGATGTGTCTTTTAAAAAATTCATCTTTTCAAAATGAGTGGACTTTTTCTGCCATAAATCTTCTTCAATCATTTGTGATACCACAAAAAAGGAAAAACAAAAAACAACTTTTTAAAATAATTATTATTTTACTTTTAATCTCATAATGTGACATAATGCTCATAAATCAGACGAATGCTTTTAATTTAAATAATTTTTAAAAGATCTTCAAATCTCATTTAAACGAATTTTATTAGTTTTTACTTAATTTTATTTGAAAACAATGTCAGACATTATAATAGAACAGAACTCAATAAAATAGGCGTTCAAATAATAATAAATTAAGAGCTTCATTGTGCTTTATTGGTTCAAAGTTAAATTAATTAACAGGTCTGTGAAATAACGAAGTATTTGAATGAATCTTACACTTTTTTTTGGAAAACTTTTTTTAAATTTTCTGAAACCGTTACAATCTGATGAGAGAATTTCTAAAATCTCAGAACATAAACTTTCAAGTTTCAAAATCTAAAGTGTAATAATTTTAAGGAAGATAAATTTCATTGCGTTTTAATCGTCACATTGATTGTAGGAAGACAGCCTATACTTGTAGCTCAGTTCAGGGTTACCAGAAGAATTTTAAATCACCAACTGTGTTTTCGAAAAATCGAAATTGGCAAAAAAAGAACTTTTTAATTCAGAATCAAAATTAATAAAATTAATTCATAATTAAGGCCTTTTCAAAGAGTATAATGCCACTATTTGGAAAATCTCAGAAGAGCCCAGCTGAGCTGGTTAAGGTAAGATATAATAAGTGAATATTTATGGAGAAAAGATGACAAAAGAAATTTCTAATCCAAATTTTCTATATTTTCATTGAATGTTTAGGCTCTGAAAGAGGCTCTAAAAGCATTAGAAACGTTAAAAGTTGGAGGTGATAAAAAAGCCGAAAAGGCACAGGAAGATGTCAGTAAGAATTTGGTGAGTATTTTTGGTCAATTTATAAAATCAATTTTTTCTCTCTTCATCCATCTATCCATCCTTCAATCATTCCTATAATATAAAGGAGGAACAGAATGTATATACCTATATATAATTTCATGAAAAACGCAATAGCGGTATACAGTACAATATTCGTATGAAAAAATCACTACGATACTAATTAATTAAGTACACAGATGTGATCAGTCGTGTGATTATGTTGATTCTTTAAAAGAATTCACCTCTTTTTTTATGTTGATGAGAAAGAAGACTGCTTTTTTTTTTGGATGAGAGGAAAAGAAGAAGAACAAAAATATTTCATGTCTGAAGAAAGTATTGCAAGTATAAATCTTGGCGATGCGATTCATAATTTGCGATAAGAAGTATGTTTAGAATTCCACCCAAAAATAGAGTATCCAAAAATATTACATGTGAGGTAGCAATCAAGTTCAAAATGCATAGTATAGAACGTATATCTTCTTTTTTCAACGACGTTTATGTTATGTATTGTATTGTTGTTTTTATTTATTTATTTTACGTCTCTCTCGCTTGCTAATCTGTTATAAATTGCATTTTTACTTGTCGTCATTCTTGTGACGTACAGACTCGTTTTTCTTTCATCACCTTTTCTTCTAAAAAAATTGATTTTCTTCCTCTTTTGCCGTCCGTCCGTTCTTCGTAAAGTCATGTATATATATACTCAGTCATAGATTCAGTCGAAATTTTCATGATCATCTTCTTTTGATTAGTAAATTTCTCTTTTTTGCCGCGCTCTCTTCCCGCATAGTAAATTATAATGTATGCTAACAGCTTGGTGCTGACACGAAAAAATTATGATCATTAAGTCGACTAATTTTTATTATTATAAATTATTATCATGATTATTTTGTAGGTATCGATCAAAAACATGCTTTACGGCACATCAGATTCAGAACCGCAGACGGATATTGTGGTATCACAATTAGCACAGGAACTGTACAATAGTAACCTTCTTCTGCTACTAATCCAAAACTTAAATCGAATTGATTTCGAGGGCAAAAAAGATGTTGCACAAGTGTTCAATAATGTACTTAGACGACAAATTGGAACCAGATCTCCAACAGTCGAATATATATGCACGAAACCTGAAATTCTTTTTACACTCATGGCGGGTTATGATCATCAAGAAATCGCACTTAATTGTGGAACAATGCTGAGAGAATGTGCACGCTACGAAGCACTCGCTAAAATTATGCTTTATTCCGATGAATTTTTCAATTTTTTCCAATACGTCGAAGTCTCAACTTTCGATATCGCTTCGGATGCATTCTCAACGTTCAAGGTAATAATTAAAAACTTTTAGATACTGTATGATAATTCATTAGCATTTTTAAGACAGCAATATTTGCTAACGGATTTTTGAGATTTGAAGGTTTTGCTCAGATTTTCAATTCTCAAAATCTGCTGCAATTTGAATTTCAAATGACGGTTAAAAATCATAAAGCTAATTGCCTACAAATATGTGCTTAATCTGTGATAATTTGAGACATTTATCGCGTGCACGCGCGCTCTGAATTCCTCAAACGCGATAAGATAAAGATTTAATCGTAATCATCACAATAATGCATCATTTATGATCTTTAATTTCTATTCTTCTTTTTTTAGGAACTGCTTACACGTCATAAAATCCTTTGTGCAGAATTTTTGGAAGCAAATTACGATAAAGTGTTTACCCACTATCAGCGGTTATTAAATTCCGAAAATTATGTCACTCGACGTCAGAGTTTAAAGCTTTTAGGCGAATTATTGCTTGATCGTCACAATTTTACGGTTCGTAAATCTCTCTTTTTGCCTACATTAGACGGCATTAGACTATTATCTTATTTATGTCTTGCCTTTATTTTTCTCCTTTATTAATAATTTTATTTTTATTATTGCAGGTAATGACGAAATATATATCAAATCCAGACAATTTGAAATTGATGATGAATATGTTGAGAGAAAAATCACGAAACATTCAATTTGAAGCCTTCCATGTTTTTAAGGTGAGCAACTCGACTTTAACAATTTTTATTTTGAAAAAACTATTAAAATGTGCAATTTCAGGTATTTGTGGCCAATCCAAATAAACCTAAGCCTATATTGGAAATACTCTTGCGCAATCAAGATAAGCTTGTTGACTTTTTAACGCGCTTTCACACAGAGAGAAGCGAAGATGAGCAGTTTAATGACGAAAAAGCATACCTTATTAAGCAAATCAAGGAACTAAAACCAATTCAATCAGATGGTACATCACAATCTTCTCAACAGCAATAGCCTATTTAAATTTTCATTCTTATTTTATGAAAATTCCTACTTTTCCTCCTTTTTTTTAATTGTAACAATTATTATATTTTCAGATATGTTTCTCATTTTAAAAGCCTCATAACAAAACTATTATTATTATTACGATTGTATTTTTTTTTTGCTAATAATGTTCGCAAAACGACAAGTGAGGAAATGATTTTTCTTTTAATTTAGTTTTTCGGCATGGTAAACGTTTAATAATATATTTAAAAAAAAAATAAGCAAAAATCATTGAGCAGAAAGTGGAAATGGCAGAAATTCTTTAAGTTATTCTTGTAAAAGAAAGAACGAGAAATAATGAGAAAAACAGAGGAAAAATATAAAAACGGATTTTATTTTTTTGTCTTTATGATTTGTAATGACTCTAATTAGTTAATAATGAATTAGATTCATTGCATATTTTACTGAGTATACATAATTTATTCATTCTTTTTTCCTGATGAAAAAAAAAACTTGTTAAGATCGATAATTGATAAAATAGATTTTAGAGAAAAACGCTGGAAAACGATCGAGTTTCTTTAATTAAATTTATCTTTATTTTCAGTTAAATTTCAGGTCAAATTTTCCTTTATAAGCCCACCCCCTCTTTTAAGCCTACGTCCCAAATTTAAATTTGTTTACATTTTTAATTTTAATACGCGGCTTATAAACGAAAATATCATAAATATGATTTATTGAAATAGGACTTTTGAGGACTTAATGTTACAGCATGTTATTCTTGTTTAGTGTTATAAAACTTTTCTAATGATCGATACTTGTTAATTTCATGTGGGAAGTTCTGTTGGAGCTCAACAAGTAAATTTGCTTTAAATTTTCGGTACATGTCAATTTTTCCTTTTGTTTCCTCATTTTTGTAAAGTGCTTTCTCGATGCAGTCTTTTGTGTATAACTGAGGATTTCTGCCTTGATCGATGTAGTCTGTACAGACGGCAAGAGGAATTGAGATTCCTTCAATTTTACTGCGATATTTGTCGATTTTCTGAAGATCTGAGATGAGCGTCTGTATCTTTTGATTTAATACTGCTTGCCCTTGTGGCTGAAAGTCTGAGACTATGATTCCGATCTGAAATAGCAACATAATTAAGGATTTCTATTCGGTTGATTTATTTGATTTTTTTCTTACTTGACGAATATTCTCTATAAACAGCTCCAACTGATTTTCCATACTTTCTAATGTATTCTCTGACATCCTTGATGGTTTATGGTTGATAAATGAGTGATAATAAGTTTTTGTAGATTATATTTCCTATTAAAAAACAAAATTATTAAAAATACAAAGTTGTTCGTAAATAATGAAGTTTTTACTTTGTAGCTGTTTTTGCTTGGATATCAGCTTTAATTTTTAAAAACCGTTAAATTTAATGGTGTCTCAACCTTTATATGATGTCCTAAACTTTAAAGATTAAGCTATACAATGGTTTAATATAGGCATTATTTTAACATTTTATAATATCATTCAACATTTTGTACATTAAATTAGACATCTAGAAAGAATTGATGCACATCGATGGACATCACATGCTGACAATTCCCAAGTTTAGTCCACAAACGAAAGAAAATTTTTCTCGTAGAGAATTTATGTAAAGATATTCGGTAGTAAATGTAACTCAATTAGAGTATAAATCATCAGAGATTGTCAATTGAATTCCCCAAAATTCGAAGATGACATTCGAGTACAATAAGATTTGTAGGCAAGTGAATTAAATTAATGTTTACTTAATATGAAAAACATTAATATTTTGAAAACTTTTGTATATTCCACGAAATTTTAAAGATTATGTTTAAATTCGTCCAACACGTATTTGATGAACATTTTCAATGAAGAATATCGCATAGTGGAAAAAATTAATGATATGATAAGTTTAGAGGTAGTTAAATTGTACAAATTTCATTTAATTTCTTCTTCTTTGCCTTTTGACACTCTTTTTCCCCTTTCTTTACAATGTATGTACCTACCTGTATGTCACTCGTTTCAGGTTTTTCCACAAGATCCATTCCCAAAAGTAATTTGCACAGACTGTTACTCAAATCTGGTGATTTTTAATGAATTTAAACGAATCTGCAAGAACTCTGATGACTTATTGAGAAAATATCAAATTAATAAGGCTGAATCGCCGGAAGCTTTAGATGTATCGCAAGGAACAAAAGGAAATGGGAAATGCAAATCTATTAGAAATTCTGAGGAGATGGCTCATCGTATTAAAGAGTGTGCATTTAAAAAGTCCATGACATTTATTGAGAATATGAAAAATTTCTACTTTTTGCTTAATCAAATAGAAGATCTAGAAAATAATGGCGGTGCACAAGTGATAATAAAGAATGAGATTTCGAATGAATCTCTAATTCCTACAGTCGAGATTAACATAAAGAATGAAGTGATTTATCCAAATGAGGAGAATCAAGTTATTATGGGAAGTGTCATTCAGACACCAGAAACGAGCAGCGCTGAGTCAAAGAGGAAGCGACGAAAGAGCAATAAACGTAAAACTGTGAATGGACAAACTATGGAAATTGATGAGACTGGAAATATTGTAGCACGACAAATTATTCTTTCAACTGAGCAGCATAACTCCCCGCACCATAATCTACAAATTACGACACAAAATGATAATGAAATGGCACTCATGCTAACTGTCAAACCTGTTGAGTCACAAGAGCAGCCACAAACAATTACTGTTGCAACTTCTCATCCACAAATTCAAATTCATTCAAGTAAGAATTTAATCTGACCAGAACCTTACAATTCCAATTAACATATAATTTGGAATTGTAGGGTTTTGAGGAAAAACATTTATAAGGTTTTCAAATTTAAATATGTAATTAGTCAACGATTTCTGTAATTTAGATCATGCATTGCCATTATCGACAGTTCAGACTGTCACAACTTCTTCTGCGCCACAAACAGTGACCACAATCCTTCAATATTCCTGTTCATCATGCCATGAAATCTTTAATACTACTGATTCTTTAAGACAACACCTTTTCCACTCTCATCAAATCTTATTTCCCTTCTCGACTTCATCATCTGATCAACAATATCAACAGGTATCCATTCCACAAAGTAGCGTCTCACAAATCACAACTAGCGCCATACAACCAACCCAACAGTTTACTACATTTACTCACAAAAAGTATTTTGATTCTGAATTTCCTTGTATGCTTTGTGGAATTGTTTCCAAGAATCAAGAAGAATTAATAAAGCATATGATACAGCATACATCGACATCATCTAATACAATTCCTGTTAAAGTGACCACAATCGTTGAACGAGATCGAAATGACGTATCCTCAAGTCCAACAGACTTATCTGCATCAACTACTCAATATAAGTAAGAAAAAGTGAGAATTTTTTAAAAATTAAATTGAATGTGATGAATTTGGCGATATTTTGTGTTTATTTTAATCATATATTTTTTTCTCCTAGTTATATAGTCGAAGACATTTGATCATTATTATCAATTTTTTTTTATGATTTTTATTCCTTAACAATTTTTTTAAATATATGATGTACTATAATGATTAAAAAGTACGTATTTTATCCTTAAATGTTGCAAATAGAATCTGAAAGTTTGCAATTAAAATTACTTAATCGATTTTTAGACATATAAGATGATTAAAATTGCTTGAATAAAGTTGTCATCAGTGGCAAGTTTTAATTTTAGGTGATTTTACATAACTTTTGTAATGTTTCTTGTTCTTGTCTTTCATAATTTTTATGAATGATTTACTACAATCGATAATTTCTGTGATAATTGTCATGTTGGATTTTGAATTCTCAACTGAAAAGTGCTGTGCTTATCATTTTACAATTTTTGAGAATTATTAAGAATTGTCAGTTCTTTGTACCTTAATCATTTAAAAGATTTGAAAATTAACTTTGAGTCTATAAAAAGTAATTTCCTTAAACAAATTTAAAATCATAAAAATTTAAGGATTTTTCAGGATCAGATTCATGGAAAATTAAAGAAGCGCAATTGAAAACTGAGCAACAAATTGAATCCAATCTTAATTAAACATTTTTAAGATTACAAATGACATCTAGGACATAAAATATACTTCAATCTAGCAGCTTACAACTATTCACTTCGCATCATCAACCGCAAAGCTTAAAATTGCATGAAATAAATTCGATATCAGATAAATTGTCCAGTATAATCCGCATACCTCACACCCGCGGTTAATAAAAAGAACTCAGTGCGTCCAGTGAACTCGAAAGTGCAGGAACGAATATTTACATGAAAAATTTATTAAAATTAATTAAAATAGCTTAGAAAGTTGACTAGCTCAGTGTAAGGAAGTACAAAAAGTGGCAAGGAATCAAGTAAAAATCAAGTAAAAGTGAAAATTTATTGATTTAATCGATTTTTCGCGAGGAAAAACCTTTTGGAAGAAAAATCAATTTTTTCAGCATATCAAAAAAGGGATTCTCAACAAGTTTTCATTAATTTCTAAGACGTGAAAATGGCTCAGGCACAACAAATGCTTTCTGTCGCTCTAGAATTCCTAAAGTAAGTAAAATGTGTCAATAATTTCAACGAAAGAAGTTTATGACTTTTCATGATTATCTATGATATATACTGGGAAAAGTACCTACCTAATATCTCATCAATATTTTCAGGACGAGCTATAAGTTCGATACGTTTCAGGAACCAAGAGGTGTCATGCGTATCTTTCAACTCGTCTTTTCAGTATGGGGATTCTTTGCTGTTCGTGGATTTACATTGACATTAAGTATGGATTGTCAAGAAAGAATTTATCAAAGAACTTACGAAATAGAATATCCGTTTGAGTTTGGTGAGCATATTTGCAGAAGGAAAATTGATTTTTCCAAGACTGACAATTCGACAGCATTTGTATCCGTTGATGCTTCAGCTGGAGCTACATTCTTCGCAATTACTGCTGTCTTGGCACTACTATATGCTATTTTCATCATTTTTGTCTATACATATTTGGATGAAATGTACAAGAGCAAACCAGAATTTCCAATGGCTGATTTTGCATTAACTGGAATTTTAGCATTCTTCTGGCTCATCGGAACGCTTGGATTCAATAGTGGCGGAAGTGCAATGAAGAAGACCTTCGACGAAGATTATTTAGGTCAAACATGTTATCAATGTGTACCTAAAGTGTCAAGTTTTACGGACTTGAATATTGCATTGGTAGGACTTTTTTTTATGTTTGTTTTAAAACTTTTTTTTTGTCATTTAATGCAATTTTTTGACGTTGAATACATACGAGATTCTTTTGTCATGTCCATTTGATTTATTGTTTTATTGTGACTATTTTAAGAATCATTATTAAATAGACACAAATAATAAAAACGATAATTTTATTTTTAGCTCATTGGATTCTTAAACTTCTTCTTATGGACAAGTGATTTGTGGTTCCTTTATAAGGAAACTGCTTGGTTCCAAAATAGAGGAGCAATTTATAATCAACAAATGTATGGACAACAGCAAATGCCTCCTCAACAGCTTGGCCAAGAACAGCAACAATTTGGTCAACAATCACAGTATGAACAACAGCAGCAGCAGCCACAATATGGACAGAATCAACAATATGATCAATCATATGGACAGCAATATGATCAATATGGTCAAGGATCTTACGCTCAGCCATCAATGTAAGATGCTACATAATTTATTTCAATGATTAAGGTAAATATTGTTTCACTTATAAGATTCACAAGTTATTTTTAATATCATAACAAAAAGACAACAAAAACTTAACTACCCATCTACCTAGTCAGCTATTATGTTTTACAAAAAATCGTTTGTTGTTTTGCTTTCTTCATGTGAGCATGTTTTTATGTCTGTGAAATGAACATGTTGACAATTGCTGGCGATAAAAGTATGATTGATAAAAATTACACATTTATGGGCATCTCATGAATAAGTAAATTGCAATACATGGCTGTATTCACCTTTATGTAAACCTTTCATGAGAAGAGACTCTAAATTCACAAAAACTACTTAATACCTTAATTAGAACCATTCATTCATACCTAGTTAATTAAATGGAGCTGAAGAAAGGCGCTTAATTAGATCCGTTTGAATTTACACTACAACGCACTGAAGCGATACTATGTTATGCAAATAATATTCGTGTCTAGAGAATTTCCATTGAAATGCCACAAAAAATGAGAGAAAAAAAAGCTGAAACTTGTTGATTCCGCAGAGAAAACGGCATAAAGTTTTAAAGCTTTTATAATAATTGGTTCTGTGGCTTTAAGACGAGCAAAAATAGATTCAACATTGTTCATTTCACAGACATAAATGTATTTTATCAATGGACAAATTAATTATGAGGAAATAATTAGTATAGTACTTACCTACTTACTTAAACTTATTATGTATAGCTCGAAATGAGGTGAATCCTATCAATTTATCATTATTATCATGTTGAAAATATATAAAAATATACATAGAAATATATTTATTGAGCTATGTCATATGTATTGAACAGCCATATGAGAAATAAGGAATGTATTAATATTTAATTACCAGTTCTTACGATTACATTCCGGAAAGTTGAGTAAAATTAAGAATTTTTTTTGATTTTTTGCTTGAAATTTTTCTTCTCAAAATCCTATTTATGTCCCAGGTGAGATAAGGAAGTATATTGCGACAATCTATGGATCAAATAAATTTAATAATAATAATGTTAATTGGAAAATTCATGCGAATACAGTTTAATAGTCATTTCCATTTTAGTTTTTTGAGACTGCAAAGTTTTATGTTGAAAAAAATCCACAAATATTAAAATTAACATTGCAACAAAACGTATTAATAATATTAATAAAAAATAATGTATTTAACTTATTATGATTATGGAATAATAATGTCCTTACTCAAGTAACTAATGAATCTCAACTCAAAAATCTTGATGCCATTCATTAAACGATTTGTTAAGATATAAATTAATATTGGCAGTGAATAATTTTTGCATGAAAATTAAGAATCAATAAATTAATCTTACTAATGGTACAATACAAAAATTTAACAATTGAGAATCTCTATGAAAATTATCTCCTTTTAATTATTCCTTTTAGCCACACTTTTAAAGAAAAATTAAATTAAAAATTGAAAATATACATGATTATTATGAATGTGTAGTCGATTTAAGATAATACCAAAATTTAAATAAAAATCTTTAAAGAAAAATACCAAAAAATGAGACATTAATCAATGTTGCGCAATTATAAAGAGATATCAGTAATTATGTTTATAGCAGATGATAAAATATAAGAGAATTCACTTATTGTTCGTCACAACATAAATATAGAACTTTAACAGTTCTTTTAAATAAATAATAATAAAAAATTCTTTACTGAGTTCATAGCAGATTTTTAGGAACCTAAGATGCATTCAGACAACATGAAATTATAAAACAAGAAATATGAAATATGATCAATGGACATGCTAAATGTGAAAGAAATATAAATTAATGAGAATCATGAAATAATTTATCAAGCATAAAAGGAATATGGCATAGAAAATAACACATAAAATATTGACATTAATGAACTAATTCAGATTACTTACCACGCGAGAGTCAAAAGACAATTGTTATTTTTGAAGGCTCACAAATGAATGTTTATGCATGAAATTCTTTAAAAAGAGAAATAAAAATTAGATTAATTTCAAATTGATCGTCTTTCATTGCTTATTTGCTGTTTTTCTAGTAATTTATCAGGTATTATGCGTGCTCTTGAGATGATTAATCATGGCTAATTCGTCAAAAGTAAGTCAATTTGCATAACAATGCTTATTATTCATATTGTCATTCTTAGTACTGAAGATTTTTGTTGTATTTTAAGCATTTCTTCATGACATTTGTCATCTTTACAGTACACGATTTATTCGAACAGTTTTAACAATTAAAAATATGTTTTGTGCTCGTAAACTGCTTATAAATGATTGACAAAATTTGAATTGTATCAAAAAAACATGTAAGAAATGGACAAATATTGATACATATAAAGGAAAAGACCAGACAGTATACTGACAAGACTTAGAATTGGACACACAAATCTAACACATACACATCTTATTGAAAAAACTTCTCCCCCAATATGCACATGCACCATCCCACTTACAGTCAGACACATATTTGAATGCACAAACAATCAAACAGCTATTTCAAAATTTAATATCAGTTACAAAACACTTGAATTAGACGAAAAAGATTAAACATACAAAATTTTAAACTTTTTAAAAGAAATTAATATTTACGACAAAATCTAACACTAAAACGCATAATATCCTGTATTGCAGTTCGTATTTATAAAATTAAAAAAAAACATGTAAAACATATTTGGAATTGAAAATGGTCTTAAAATTTATTAAAAAAGACCTTAATAAAGATAATTAAGAAGAAGAAATTTGAATTGTTTCTTAAAATTTAAAACTCAAAAATCTAATTTGTAAAGTTCACAAAATCAAACAGATAAAACCGTTAAAATTCAACTTTTACGTTACAAAACTAGGCTTTCAAAACTTGAAGAAGCAATTGTGCGGCTCTCGAACTTTATGACACCGTTCGACTTGAAAATGAATCTGACTGAAGCTTTGTTGATTGTAAACTTACTGTCAAAATATCAGTTTAATTAAGTTAAAACTGACAGCAGGAAATGTCATGTCTCTTTCCAAATGTACAAAAATCAAAATGTTGTTGCTAATTGCATAAAATAGATCTATTACTAACATTAATCGCGTCATAATAGGTTCTTCAAGTTATAACAACGATATCAGCTTTATTACCAATTTATAATCCTCTACAGACAACTTATATTCCCCCTAATATCTTCTTTGTTTATATACGCAGTACACTTTTCATGTGATCGAACAATTTTATTAAAAAAATCAATGAAATGAGTAATACAAAAGAAATAATTACTTTACAGTTTGGAAATTATGCAAATTTTGTGGGAACTCATTTTTGGAATGCTCAGGTAAGTTGATTAACAAGAATTCTATTCAATTTTTATAAAACACATGCTAAACTTTTAGGAACATTCATTCAATTATGATCCAGATGTTGAGGAACCGGCAGAAATAAATCATGATGTGCTGTTTAGAGAAGGCAAATTCTTCAAAAATATTACCTTTACACCTCGAATGCTATTACTGGATTGTAAAGGATCACTTAAGTACATCAAGGAAAGTGGAAATTTATATTCAAATATTTCATTAGAAAGGAACAACCCAGAAAAGAATTTATTGGATCAAGTGATTCATACGATTGACTGGGATGAAGAGAATATAGAAGTAATGGAAAGTGAAGAAATTCCAATGACAGATTATCAGAGATCATTGATGGAAACTGATGATGATGATGAGAAGATTTTTGACTTAAAATCATCAGTACAAAATTGGCCAGACTTTATGTACACGAGATATCATCCAAGATCAATTAATATAATTAAAGATTATGAATATCATAATGATATCTCAACATTAGATACATTTTCAGCAGGTTTACAGTTATGGAATAATCCATTTTTTGAGGATGATTATTGTGATAAAATCCGTATGTATATTGAAGAATGTGACCAAAGTCAAGGCTTCCAAACAATATTTGATTCGATTGACGGATTTTCAGGAGTTGCCATTAAATGTATGGAATATCTCGAAGATGAATATTCAAAGTCAATTCTTGCATTTCCATTAATTCCAAATAGAACTAAAACTTTCCAATTTGCGGATGAAGGAATGAGTGAGACGATTCGATTAGTTAATCTGGCATTTAGCTATGCAAAGCTTTCAGAACATAGTAGCTTATTTATTCCATTAAGTACAATGGAACGTGGATGGAGAAATATAGGAGAACCTCGAAAATTTCCAAATATGTCCTATGAATCTGATAATCTATATCATAGTTCTAGTATATTATCGTCATTTATTGACACAATGAGTCTTCAGTATCGTCTTAGAGAGCATTCATCCCAAAACTATTTATCGAATTTCTGTGCACAAATGAATACTTATGGACGTAAAATGTGTGGTGGAAAAACATCACTTCCATTTCCAATGCAAGAAAAAGAAGATCTCATTGAATTCTTAGATAAATTTGATGGAGATTTAATGCAGTCAATATCACCAAATGTTAAAATTGGAACTGACAGAATTGTTCAGCATGTCACGTTAAGAGGACTTTCAAAAACGAGATTAAAGAAGCCATTAGAGAAAGCCAAAGATCAAATGAAGATGGCTGCATATAAATGCACTTCAATTAGTGAAATGCTTCAGCTTTACTTCCAATGCAATACTTATGCTAGCTTATCACATGTTGCCGCTGTTGGATCTCCTCTGCAAGTTAAGTTACCATTCCCAAAAGAATTTTTCGACTCTCGAATTGCCTCTAATGGATTTCTTAGAGAATTTCAAAGTGAAGAGAAGGCAAATGTCCGGGAAGTGCCTATAATGACTGCTGTCCAAAATTCTAGTGAGCTTGCAAATACTCTTGAAAACTTACATACACATGTTGAGCGAGTCAAACTTGCAAAAGTGCCGAGATTTAGTGATTCTGGTTTGGAAAAGGAAGAATATAAGGAACTGCTGGAACAATTGCTAGTATTTAAGGAACAATATGATGAAAACTCATTTTTGTAAAGATTATTATTTTTGGAAATAAAATTTCTTTTATTATTGTATTTTTATGCTTTTTTAAGTCCTTACAAAAATGCAATTCTTTTATTTTTGTTTCATTTGTAAAAAATTTGTATCGTATTTCAACAATTTCATGCTTTTATTTTTAATTCTTGAATGCTTATTATTTATTATCAATAGTTTAGCAAATATTTCAAGTCCGTATAAGTATGTCTATTGAAAATAATGTTCAGAATTGAAGCTCATTGAGGTGAATTTGAATTTCTTGACTTATTTCATGGAACCAGACTAAGTTCAAAGATTACATCCTCAATCAACTTCAGTCCCATCTTTAAAACGCATCAATTTTGAAAATAAATTGGAAATAAACTCTAATAATTTTTTTTAAATCTTTATTATGCAAGACTTTCTTGTATCATTTTAATGCACTATTCAGCATATCACTAAATTTATTAATCATTACATATCATTTATACTTTCTCTTCATTATTATAAACTTCTCACAAATAATAATAATAATTTTAACTAAAGTTTTTTAATTGACTTTCAACAAAAAATAGGCATATTAAGGTACGGAAAGTTTGTAAGGGCAGCAAAAGAGGAAGTGGTTGGAATTTAAAACTTAATTTGAATTAGTTTTGACGGTTTTGTGATTTTAAAAGCTGTTGTAAGGTTCTAAAATATATTTGAATCTATTTCGACCATTATTGGAAACTGTTGAATGGTTTCAAACTTTTCAATTCTCAAAAATATGTTAATTTCCCAAAAATTACGATTAATAAATTCCAATCCAATTCCACAAAGTCTGCTTTAAGAAGTTGTTCAAACTTTCCTTAGAGAAATTGAAAAAGTAATGACTGCTATCACGAACGAAAACAAAGCTGCTTTTGAAATAATAATAAATAGATAGAATTAAAGAACATTTACAGACGCAAAGCTATGACATAAAACTGGATGGGATGGGAAAAAAACCATTAGAAAAAATATTCAATCAAACATTATAAAAGAACATAATGATTGAGCGAGCATATGTCATTAAAAAAGAATATTATGAATGAGTCCCGAGTGACACATGATTTAAGCTTTTAGCTTTTCACAATATTTGATACTTTGAGGCTTTAATTAAACTTTAAAAGAGCAAATCAGTCTAAAATTAACGACTGTAACGCAACTAGCTGTAAATGTTTATAGCTCCATAAACTCATGTCACTCAGGTATGACTTAAGCAGTTTCATCATTTTTCTTTATCTTCTAAAACACTACTGAATTTTTTTTTTCGTAATAAGATATATTAAGTTCCAATATATTTCAATAAAATTTTAGTATAGTATTGAAAAAAGGAGGAAATACTGGATATCAAGTAAGCCCATGAGTTAATCAAATGATTATTTAATAAGGTATATCCATATACTGTTTTATAATGTATGAAATAATTCAATAAGAATATGATGACTTAAGGTTTAATCATTTTGGCCTGTAAAAAGCAGTATAGAATTCCAGCTTGAGCCATCACATCAACAGTCGATGATTCAAGAAGATCCTTTTGTTTAATCGTTGATGGTCCTGGACGTAGCAATGTTGGACCGAATACCATTGCTAGATTGTGAAGACTCATTTTGTTCTCTGCCTCGTGATGATTTATTCTAAAAAAATTATTTAAAAGATTAAGACTTTATTAAGAATATTCGAAAATCAAAACAAGTCACTCACCTAATTAAATGATCCAAAATTAATCCTATTGTTGCTTTATTTGGCTGTGGAAGTTCATTGAATATTGTCTGTAGCGCTTCAATTCTCGCCGTCTCATTTGTATTCGTGAATTGATTAAATGTGTCAAAAAACTATAAATAAACATTTTCTATGTAAATAAATGATTCACGCCTATGTTTATGTACACTCATTTGTTACCTTTTGATAGTGTGAATCAGTAAATAGAGCTTCTGGAAGCTCCCTTAAGTAACTTTTCAATATTCCCGTGACTGAATGAATGTCGACTTCCTTCAACAGTTGTTCTGCCTCATATGCATCTAAAGACAGGAAATTTATTAAAAGATTTTTGTGGAATTTAAAATAAAAGCTTTTGATGATTTACTTGACTCAAACGATTTCTTTAACTTCTGCAAGTCAGAGGCACTGCCACTAACTCGATAAATTCCCACTTCATTCATGCCTCGTCGCTCAACTTCCCTAATTGATGCACTTATGATAAATGGAATGTCCCGTTTTTCTCGTCTGCAAATTAAATTCAAAAAATTAATGAGAAAAATCCATTAAAAAAATTAATATTAATATTACTTCAACACTGTCGGTAGCTTTGCACCAAAAAGAGCGCCTGGTTTTGATGTGGGAACTCTTCTCAACGATACTTCCGCAGGAATGAATCTCATTAAAGTGTTTAAGGTCAGAGCATCTGTCATTTTTAGAGGCTTGTGCAAGCTCACGTCTTTGAGCCAAATTCGACTTAGCTGTGATGGGTAAATTAAAGAAATATTAGACAATAATTCCAATTTTAATTAATATTTCATGCAAGAGACCAAGAACGTACGTAAAAAGTTTACGTAACCAAAATACGTACGTAAAATCAACGTAATCATAAAGTTTACGTACAACAGAACAACTCACCTCGAGAACATATTTGGCTCTTAAAATTGGTCGGTCGCTATCTTGATAGACTAAAACTCTAACATTCTGACTTCCCTCTAATTCTAACACGAAGCTTTCATTCCACATTGGATTGGAATTGTGACAAATGATTTTTGTTTTTGCCTTCCTAAAGTAATGTCCATAAGAATCAATTTCAATACAGACATAGAGATCGGCTGGATGATCAAGGCCAACGAGACCCTGAACTGTAAAATGTAAATCACCAACAAGGAGGCTTTCATCGCGACTATTTCTCATCAAATATGAGCCCATTTCAGTTTTTATTATTTTTTGACATGCTGATATCCATGCTGAAAGTTCATAAACACTAATGGAAACATTTGCGCCTGGAAGATTACATGATTTTTGGAGTGATAAAATAGATTCAGTCCATTGTGTACGTTCGAAATCGGATGACAAAAAGAATGTCATTTGTTTCCCACTCGATTTATTGCCAATCTTAAATAGTAAATTTGGCGATGCGAGAACAAGTTGTGCCTCAATGTCAGCCAATTTTTTCTTGTGCTTATCATTGGCTCTTGATCCGCTCTTTTTGTCGTCACGATCCTCCATCATTATTTGATCACGAACCGTCGATGCTTGAGATTTCAGCTGCACAATATTTACTGGCGATGACTCCTTAGGCTCTGTTGGCGACGATTCGTCAGATACAATGAAAATATCCTTGAGCGGAATATACCATTTCAATTCAAATTCAAATCTTTCTCTTCCGGAAGGCTTATATTTTGCACACGCAATAACATCGTTAAATAAAAACAAGTGACGAAGCTTCCGATGACCATCAGCTAGTTCCACAATAAAGGAGTTCTTCACGAGGCGTCGGAGTGCTTTGTCGTCGGTCTAAATTGAATGATGAATGGGAAAAATCAATATATAATGATTTAAATTTAAAATTAAAATTACCGTTGAGAAGCTCTTCGTTTGGATGACGTTAAATTCGGAAAGAAAGTTCCTTGTAATCTTGTGAGCTTGCCTGAGTGGCTGATAGTCAGGATGAGATTCTGGTGTGTGCTGTAAAAGATCTTGTAATACTAATGCATTTTTTTGAACTCTCGCTACAGGCTTATGTAGTAAATCTTCTAACGTTAATGACTGTTCATTCGTTGAATTAAGAATGATATTTGATACAATTTCCTTGAATTGTGGATTGCTAAGACTACATTTTTTCACCGTATCTACGGCCCGTCCATAATTATGCAAGAACGCACAATACACCTGAATATTATCAGCAAGACTTTTAAATAAATCTCCAATCTGTATGTCACTGTCAGGTTTTGGTTTGGCTTTTAAATCAAATAAAAATTTACTGTGCAACGTGTTGAGTTCTTCAATTTTAAAGAAAACAGTCTGAAAGTCCTCATCCAAAATGACAGGCTGTGATGTCGTCAATGTAGCACGAATTGCTTTCATGTACTGTGTCATCTTATTCAAGCATTCAACATACAATGTTTCACTGGTAATAATACTCGAAATGATTTGATTTATTATCGTACCGCGAGTGCCACTTGAAATTCTTCGATCTGGTGCCGGCGTTCCTTCATCTGATATTGCACGTAACAGTGGTGGTGAATTTATATCCAATTCTCCATCACTATCAATTGAACTATTTCGAGGATCTTTATTATTTTGACTGCTAAAGTGCGAGAAATAAAATATTGTCACATAAATATTTTTGGACAAACTGCACACCAACAATCTTTACTATTCAGGATATAGTGCAGTAAAAAAAGCTTGTAAAATGATACATGATAAAAAGTGATACTTACTGAAGGAAGTAATCAATATTGACATAATTTGAGTTTCTGCCCGGCGATTCTGGCTCAATTACACTCGTTTGACTATTCAGATGATGTTTACTCATCGGTAATGTGCTACCAGCACTAGATGATGATCCCGTTGTTCCCGTACTATTCATCGTGTTTGTTTTTGTCGCATTTGAAGCATTTGCTACGTATATTGGAAATTCTGAATCATTTGCCTCAATTGGAACTGAATCATAGTACGGTTCATTCTCAATATTTTGACTTATTTGATTACTTTCGGAACTAAGTGAGGAAATCGATTCAAAGCTTTTAATTTTTGTCGAGGCCACGCCACTCGTGAGACCAGAGTGAAGGGATTCCTTTGAGCCTACGCTATTTCCACCTCCACGATTAATCTTCTCTAAACTTCCCATCAACGATGCTGTTGATTTTGTATCACGACTTCCCAATGATCCACTCGAACTTTGTGTCGACTTGAGACTTTCTGATTTTGCCAATTTCTTACCAAACTCATCTGTTATTAGATCAGATGACTTGGAAAATTTTGTTATGTCTTTTTTACTTTTTATGTCTAATGAATCGGACGATTTTTGTCGAAATATCTCCGATGGCTTAACGTTACGTTCGAGTGAACTCGATGGACTGCTATCAGAGTCTTTTCGACCAGGCGATGAGCTAAGAATCGGAACGGTTGGTGGCTCAACAGGTGCTCCACGTCTTGGAAACTTTGGTGGTGGTCTGTAATGGGAAATTAAATACATAACTATTATTACCTTTCATGATTACACAGTAGAGAGTAACAAGTATAAAGTAAACTCATAACCTTGTTGGTATTGCGTAACATTAGAAATCTTAATTACATTTTTATTTCTTTTTCCTCTTTCAACTTGTTGACATAAAAATAATAGAAGAGGCGTTGTGCTTTAACTTTGTAAAGAATTTGCATAAATCTTTTATGAAAAAATTAGCAAGCAGTAACGAAGTCATTGATCGATACTCAGAAAAGTGCATTTTTATAACTGAAAAGTTTACGAGCTTTAAATTTCTTCATTAAGTTTGCAAGGCCTTGTGATTTATTAGTTGTAAAATTAGGTTTGCTATTGAATTTTATGGATGTTGGTTTTATGAGTTTTTGGGATTTTTGCTTTGATTTTTATTTTTTTAAAATTACATCAGCTATTATTACAAACAAGTATTTTAAGTTTGATGCAAGTTTTACGTACAAGTAATCTAAGTTTGATGCAAGTTTTACGTAAAAGTAATTTAAGTTTGATGCAAGTTTTACGTACAAGTAATCTAAGTTTGATGCAAGTTTTACGTACAAGTAATCTAAGTTTGATGCAAGTTTTACGTACAAGTAATCTAAGTTTGATGCAAGTCTTACGTACAAGTAATCTAAGTTTGATTTAAGTTTTACGTACAAGTAATCTAAGTTTGATGCAAGTTTTACGTACAAGTAATATAAGTTTAATACAAGTTTACGTACAAGTATCCTTAGTTTGATGTAAGTTTTACGTCCAAAATTCAAACCTTTATACAAGCTTTACGTACAAGTGTACGTACGCCATAAAAATGAATCAAAATTGTGAACGACTCAAAGCAACAGTTAAGTGTACACAATCAAGAAACAACTTTATAATCCATCATATCACAAAAATACTTATTGCCGAAATTCAATGTTGTGCCTTATCAGTCGTCATTCACTTTAAAAATACACAAAAAACAGCTAAATTATCATTGCATGCAGTCAAAGTGTACAAACAAGCGAAACATTTCCGCAAAAATGCACTAAAAAATAAAGCGGTAATTGCTATGAAGATTACATAATTACTCAGGCATTTAACTTGCCACTTCTTCTTGCTGTATGTGTTTTGTCACTCTCATTTTATGCAAATTTAAGTCAATTTTTGCACGACATCGTGTGTCTCGCGAGAGGTGCAGTTTAGCGTGATTTTTTTCCCTCAATATTTAAGTGAAAGTTTTCTTATTTTTTGTATTTTTATTTCCATTTGTGTTGCCTAGTTTCTAACATTTTTTGTTAGCTTTTATTTACATTAACCGCGAATTTTTTCGCTGTCAAATCGGATGAGAGAAAAAAAAAGATAAAATAATGAAAATATTTTTTTTTTCCTTTTTTGTATCATCGAAATGCGGAAAAACATAAATTATTTTTTCACTAGTTTACGATTATTCGGCCTTTACACAATAAATAAAAAATAGTATGAATGTGGCTACTTGTGACTGATGAAAGCGCATTTTCTCAACAAAGAACTTGAAATATTTCAAAAAATAACTCATTAATCTGATTCCCATTTAAAACCCTATCTTTCAGTCTTTATAAATGACATATTAATTGACTTCCACTCATCCCCCTAAAGTTCAAGTCAAGTTACCTAATTGAACGCACCTAAAGCTTCAAAAGGATTCCAATCTGAATTTGTAGATGGTGTCAAAGCCTGCCTTTTAAGCAAGGCCATGGTTCACAATTGATCTTGATGAACAATAAAGTAAGTAGCTAGCCTACGTAATTCATTCAGCAAAGTTCTTTGACTGATTACAGTAGTGAAAGTGATTAGTCAAAAAGATCTTCTGTCACTATTACCTCAGATTAAGTACACTAATGTAAAGCTATGTTACACTATGTAACAGTCTACAGACAGACAAACAGACAGAACAATGGTGAAAATTTCGTGGAAACGCGCTAAACAAATGGAAATGAAGAAACGAAAGAAAAATGTGGAAGAGGCATTTCGCTTTTATTATTACTATTGTGCAATGTATAAAGCATATTTCTAGCTGAATCAAGTGATAATTTTCATTAAATGAGTCAGAAAGAGAGGAAAAATAAAAAAAGAAAAGCTGAGCTATTCAAGTTCAAATTTATGGCATTTTAAAATGTATAAATATTATTATTTTTTCCTTAATTTTCATTTAGCACTATTGCACTAGTTTCATATTACATTGGGTGATGGGCTAATTAAAATATGTTGCTGAATATTATGCTCGTGTATTATGTGGGCTTTCATGATTAAGTCTAGCAATTGTGCAGAACGTCAGCAGTTATGCTATAATGAACTAGTTCTAGGAAGGCACACATCGATTAAAACTTGTGCAATTATCTTGTTGATTTAGTTATGTAAAGCAATTCTTCAACATTTAAGCATGCAGTCAAAGTCCTTGATGCTTGAACAACATAATGAAAATTCAGAATTCTTTGAATGAATCTCAAAAGATTATGGGAAGTTTTGGATAATTAAATTAAGTTTATTAATTTGCTGCTTTGAGAAAGTTTAGGAATTTGCCAGTCATTCATCAGATTCGCAGTTATTTGAAGATAATAATGAAGATTTTGGGTATCACATCCCTGACCGCGCTCTTGACTGATATAAATATATATATACTTATTAAGGCAACGTCATATCTTCATATTTTGGATTAATGAGAATAAAGTTTAACAATTTTGTTACAGACATATTAAGTGAGCGACGATATGTCTCAAATTTATCGAGAATTAATGTCAATTTATTCTGTTACAGTCTTGCTATTGAAAAACTCTTGCGCTTAAAAAAGAAATGTTACAAAATTCTTAAGATTGTGACTAACCCATCTGAATATCAGAATAACCGTTTTAATCTGTATTTAAACCAAAAGAAGAAGTATGCTCAGAATGGATTGGAAATTTTCTTGTGATGCTTTCTTAAGGCAGTTGGGCGTTGGAATTCTTTATTGAATGAATCTCGTTTTCATTGCAACTTGCTGCAGGTGTATTCCAATGTCATCAATTTTGCCTTTATTTCTGAAAAATTCTTAATTTTAATTTCTTCAGTGAATTGTATAGAGATACTCTTGGAATTGCGATTCTTTCTATATGTGGCATTTGATCATATTGTTGAGCAGCTTTGAATAGCACAGCGATAGAAGCAATTGATCGGAAATTATTACATGTGGGTTCTGACTCCCAATAAAAGATAATAGGTTAGATCTTGATATCGATAGATTTTTAATCCTACAAATGAAAGGTTAACAAACTTTGTGCAAGTTAAAGCTTGATTCAGAAAGAGCAAAATAGATCTTATTGCTACAGAAACTGCATGAAAATAACCTTTAAGGCACAATTCATCAAATACATTTAAATAGAAAATACAAACCCTAAACATTAAATCATGAATAGCATCACAAGAAAGAAGAATAAAACCACAACAGATTCATTAAACCTCATCAAGCTCCCTAAAATCGACCAATATTTGACCCATATATTCAGATTGTATACACCGAATCGTCCAAAGATTCATAAACTTTCTCAAACAAACAGGTCTAAAGCCATCCTGTGTATACACAAAAACAAACTACTTTATATCGAAAAATAGATGACCTTGATAACATTCTCCGAGTCTCAATAGCCAATGCTTGGTCAACTCTAGCATAAAATCTCATTAGAGCGAAATAAATCAATTGAATTGAGGCAGCAAATTAATCATAGACTGTGTACATAATTAAAATTCAATAAAAGAAAAATAATTAATGCCATGATAATCCCCTCATTGATAGCATTTCTGCAAAGACATTTCCAATCCGCCTTATAAAGCATGACAACTTCTGACTCAAACCTGAAACGTCGTGAAATGTGTGTTACTCATAAGAACATTATTTTCAAGTATCTGGGATAGGCACAAAATAGTACAAACGAGTTTATAAAATGCAATTGAAAGGAACAACATTTATACATCAAAACATGCTTAATCTCTTTGAGTAAAAATAAGGCGACAGACCCAGAAATGAAATAACGATTTGCAATGAAAATCAATGTAACGGTAAAGCGACAGAGATGTTTCTTATGTGGCATTTAATTTTATTTTATTTTATTTTATTTCTTCGCTGTGAATTTTTTGCCTTCTTCTTCTTCATCATCTGTTTACTTGCTATGACTTCTCCAAAAAAAATATATGAAAATAGTTTTCTATGGTCTGTGAATTTTTTTATAATAAATGCGATATTGTCTCACTTAAAAAAGAAGTCATTTGCATTAGACCGCATTGTTACAAATAAGTTATACTTTATGATGGTAAACACCACAATGTGAATTAAGTGAGTAATAGAAATTAGCCGTTATGTGATTTATTTGCTTCGGAGTTGAAGCGCATTATTTTATGAATACAAAGTTGCGGGTCCTCAAGAAAGCTTGAGTTCAAACACGGATGTCGCCAGAGTTGGTTTACGACTGGGGGTAATAATTGTAAAAAAGAAGCTTTTAAATCATTATACTGATTCTGGTGTTCATGATAAAATGCCCTAACTCAAATGCCTTCTCAAACTTGACTTTACCTTGTTAAATTCAATGACCTATGCTCTACCACAATTTTTGAATATAATCAACACAAATCTCATCACCTCACCAAGATCATCAATTCTTCAGCTACAAGACCATTAACATAACAAGCACCTAAAATCTAATGACCAATAAAGTACAAAATGACTAATAAACCGCAATATTTTCCAACTAAATTGCATCCGAATAATAAAATAGGCAAACGAAGAGATACAACGCGAATTTAACATTATGTATGAGCTCTCAATATATTTAAAGCGATTAAGGCCAATGTAATGCTATTGTTTGTAGAATTACCGAAAGTGAATAAACTTTCATTCTCGGTGTTTTTCCTTTTGCTTCACTTGCTTATTGTGTTAATACATTAAACATGATGAGTTTGCAATAATCATCCGTAATAATGATACTTTGATTAAACACGGATTCATTTATTTCCGAATATGAATATGAGAATTAAAAAATGTGACTTTAATGATGTTGTTGGTTTGATTTAGCTGCTGTTTATTATAATTAGGAAGCGCATTTTATAGGAAATAGAAGAAGTACGAAGAGAAATGGCTTAATAGCGATTCTGAAGCTTTTCACAGTTTAAAGTGTCTTGGAGTCGATTTCAAGGTTAAAGCTAGATGTATTCTCTTTTTAGTAAACATAGGATCATAGCCTTAAAAATAAGCACTTTTCACAAGTCAATAATATTGAAGTCATTTCCATTTTATTCCTGAAAACTAATCAGAGTGAATTTGATTATAAAATCACAAAAAGAATCCAATTCAACTGCCATTCTACCCCATTGAGCAAAATGACTGTCACACCACATAAATATTCGCCAATTCCGGATCTATTGCAAACGTTTTTTTAATCCAATTTTCGCAATTTTCTACAATTTTACCCTCAATAATCTAAAAGGATCACTTTTAATAAGCATAAATTCATTAACAATAACGATATTGCCTTGAATGTCTGTATTCATAATGTCATTGCTGTACTAGAAGACCCTCATGTGCAGCTATATGAGATCATGTAAGAGTGAGAACGAAAAATCTCGCTTTTATCTATTCTATATGCAAATTGTATGAGAAATTTACAAAAATTCGCATATATTTATTATTTTTATTTATTATGCGTATGAATGTGTTTGATGCTCTATTTCATTGCAACTGTTTTTTACCACAAGCACAATTGAGTGAGTTAAAAAAATGTTCTGTGGATGTACGATTCGGTTTTTCGCAGGTTTTTTCATGTTGATGTTGTGTAAAAAATAAAAAAAAAATCTTGCACTGATGATTATAAATTATCTCATCTGATGTATTTTAAAATAGCCCCGAAGCATAAAATGAGTAAAATTAATTCAGTTGGCTTTCATACAACAATCATCTTCATCAGGTCGTGTGCAATTTAATGTACATTTTTAAAACAGAGTGCTTATCGGCTATTACCGGCATTTTCAACTCTGAATTAAATGTATTTTTTCTCTCTTTTTGTATTTCAATTGAATAAAAAATTACGTTTGGACTTTATACATATTTGATTGTCGAATGGTTGGTACTATAATATAGGAATAAATATATTTGAATTTTAAATTGGTAGAGCATATTCAAAAGAAGCACACAAAAAAAATAGCAGCAGATATTCACATAAAAAGGATGGTAAATGCCAAACAAATGTGACATTGAAAATATAAAATTTTAATCTACTTCCAAAAAGCTCTGGCGTTGTCATATCTGGGAATAATGTCTACGATCTATACTCTGTCCATAAAAAAGAGTTTAGACGCTGGTTCATTAACAAATCAGAAGAACTAAAAATCTCAGAAATGAGTTTTTGAAGATTGAATGACAATAATTGTTATCGTATGGGCTCCACCTGTTTGTTAAAGGATGCTACTTTTTCTATTCTGCTAAACACCACTAATAAGATCGTTAACTTCACTAAAGATAAATTATTTCAATTGTGACAAAAACTGTATTGAGTTACATATCAATTCTGAATAATTTTGACTAGCTCGTAAATTATGGACACATGCAGACTGTGAGATCAAGTTTATGAGTCACTAACTAGATAAAAGAACACAAACAGAATTGCTCAAAAAACTGGAACCAGAAGAAATCTGAATATTCATTGAAATGTGCCAACATTCAGAAATTTGACTACAAAATCCTTTTAAATCGTCTAAGCCTTTCCAAAACATCCTCAAAAAAAAAAAAGAAATCTAACACATAAAAAATATTCCACACAGGAAACAGCATCAAGTGAGTAAAAAGGAAATTGTCATATGTCTTCCGCAATCTTATTGGATGTACAGGATGTTAAATTTATGAAAACGATCAAAACGAAGTTAAAACCACTTATGTGTATAGGAAGCAAATGCACTAAAGGATACATATTACATAAATGTTTCAATAATTTTCTCGTATCTTATCTCCGCTTGTGTAAAAGTTGTCGCATAAACAATGTTTTTGGTCGTAAGAAACTGCTTCAAGGAATATTGATCAGAATATTTTATTGCCATTTCTTTCTTCCTCTCCTTCTTTCGTCCTCACACTCTATATTAGGAAATGATTACGACTTTTGGGCTTCCCTTAAAGTCATCCAAATATTCTGAGTCATGTCGAACAAGTTCTTTAGAAATTCTCTTTATATTAAGCCACAAAAACTCTGCAGTATGGATAGTATGAAGGCAAGAACGTCTCATATTTCTTATGTTTTTGCGTTAAAGTTTATTTTTACAAAAATGAGACATGAATTGTGATTTAATTCCTTTTTTTCGTATAATAAAATTTTGCTTTATGTCACGCACCACAGTCGCAACCATACATATTTTAATGTCAACAATATTGTAAGTAAAGTAAAATTAAAGATAACTTACCTAGGTGGAATTTTCTTTTTCGAGTCCTGCAGTAGTGCTATAGATGGTGGTGATGGTCGCATGCTGTTAAAACTTGTGGTATTTGAGTTACGATCCATTTCGTTTATCAGATTTGAATTTCTTTTATTATTCTCAATAATCACATTTTCATAACCACTACGAATGGCCTTAAATGAGGATGTTGTCGTTGTTACAGTTGTTTTAGAGGAACTAGAGCTTGTGGTTTCTGGTTGAGCACTCACGAGCTCTTTTACCTCAATTACAGTGACAAAATGACTCGGCTGTGCTAATAAATCGGACTTTTTACGTTCACTCTCGACGGCAACCGAATTATCACTGACTTTATCAATTGTTTCAATTGTGCTGTTTTGTTCTGTTTTTATTACATCATTACTGTCATTACTATTCGACTCCACTATATTATGTTCATTATGACTATCTTTCTCTTGTTTCTGCTTATCAGTTTGTGTGCTCGGTGCCTCACTATATCGTCGACCATGAATGTTGGACGATAATTCGTTGATAAATTGATTGAGTGCACCGTCCCTTCTTAATTGTACCTCATCCGTTTCCTTTTTCCGAACTTCCTCTTCTTCATCATTATCTACTGTGGCAGGTGTCGAGGCAGCACGAATTAATTGGTTCTAAGGATGAGAATTAATGAGGGAAATTGTATTAATTATATAATTAGCAAGACTATTATGAATTTTCTTAAAAGATTGTCATTAAAATTACGCAAATTATCAGGCTTGGATAGAATAATTTTATTTATGAACGGTTAAAGTGGTCTAGACTCGTAAACTTCTTTTAAATGATAATTATTACTACGGTAAAGTGTGTTGAGTGTTAAGGTAGTCGTTTACGAGACATGTTTTGTATATTGAAATGTAAGTTTTATCGCGTGAAATACAGCCGATTAGTCTTATTTACTTTCTAGTAAATGAATTAATATTTAAGAGACGAATGCTCCTATAAATATGCTCAAACTTGACAATTTCGTGACCCAGAATACCTAAATTGTTCACGACCTGGCAAAAAATTAAACAAAACATTAATAGGAAAAGATAGAAATCACTAGTGAATCACAGTATTTATTAGAATGTAAATTGTATTTTGATAAGATTCGTTGACCTTGAGATTTTCATTCGTATTCAAAGTCATGTTTGAAATACGACTCATCTGTTTATGTTGATTATTTTTATAGAACCTGATCTAGTATTTTGGTCTTAAAGTTTTAATGAAGATGCTTATGATCGTAATCAGATGGAACAAAGCTTCTTTACGTCCTAAAAAATCTCTTTTCTAGACAGTTATTTTAAATCTCCTAATTATTTGCGATTGGTGTATTCTAAATGAACGATAAAATTCAATTGACTTCATTGTGTAGCTCAATTACTGTTCAGCTTGTGTGTATTTAGAATATTGACCGTAACCCCGACAATGATGATGAACTACATTTTTTGCACAATTAACATCAATTAATTTGCTACATTAGAGAAAACACTTCATTTGTGTCATTCATTCCATTCATTTTGTTCGCAATTGAATTAACTAAAGATTTGACATATTAGCATCCATGTGAAGATAATGTTTTGTGTTTTGTTACCAAATAGAAAGTTAATTCGTCACCGAAAGAAGAAATAAAAATTATCATTATTTATTTTTTGCATTGTGAACGTGCTTCATTCATTCGGTCGTCTACATTCTTTCATTATTTTTATTTTTTCGTGTATATTTGCTCATTTCAGAAGCAGTCGTCTCGGAGACTTCATCATGCAATTTGTACAAAAGTAAGAAAACTAAGTACTTCATCCAGAGTTGATATTAGCTAACTCAAATCTAAATCTAAAATTAACAAAGGTTCGAGCAGAGCTCGAAGTCGATGAAATTTTTAATGGATACAAAATCGATGAAAATCTCGAGTCGCCTTCGAGCTCTGGTTGATAAGACTAAGATGAGTTAAAATTCACCCTTAATTTCAAAAGACTAAGTTATTGTTAGAAATGGGCATGGGGAATAATTTTAATGTCTCAAACTGAAGATTATAACCAAAACATTCAAATTCCAAGTCGCCAACACTGAGTTGAACCCTCCTCATAATGTTAACTTATGCTTTTTTGAATTGTTATTGCACTTTGAAAATATTTTATGAATCACATGACATTTCTCCTTCTACATGCTTTGTGTCTCATGCTGAGATTTCTCATTTCTGTGTGTCTCTTCTCTTTCATTACAGAGTGTTATTAATGTATGAATAAAAACACAACACAGAATAATAATAAAGATGAAGAAGTGAAATTGCACAATTCCACCGTCATGAAATAAAAGCTTAAAAATATTAACAAGTAGTTTTTTTTGTTGTTCAATTATTGTGATGAAGTCGATACAATGGATGTAGAAAAGAAACATTTACATTGAGAACGTGAGTCAATGGAGGGAAATAAAATGTCTATTTGAACATTGTAATGGGCTGATTTTTACTACTTTTCTCATATTTGCTTTTCTGTATGTCTCAATAGATCAAATGCAAAAGTGTATGCACTTTAGTCAACAACAAAAAAAAAAAACATAAAGTGAACACACGGAAAATTTCCATTAAAATGTGCACTTTAGAAAAAAAAATCAATTGAGGGCGATAAGATAATGTGTCAGGCATTTGACAGTATTGGTTGTATTGAGTTTAACCAAGCCATGAACAATATATGTGGCATAGAAAGTGCGAGAATTTTATTGAATTCGATGATAAGATAGCGTATTACCTCAAAAGTAAAACAGCAAAACCGTGTAAAATAAAAGTTATGGTTTAGCCATTAAGTTAAGTTATTAGCATGTTTAACAACATTAAGGATTAGTGGCATAGCCAGCGAAGGAAAGGGATTAGGTGTAAAAGCCGATCTAAGTTCGAATCCTACTACGAATGCCAATATTTCGCTTGTTTGTAAAACTAGAAACTGGAAGCTCTAGTTGTACAATATTTAACGCAATTTCATCTTCCATATACGAATTAATAACCCAAAACTTGAAAAATTAATGCTTATTGTAAAGTAATTAAAGCTAGACCGCTAATTTATGAAAAATAACAAAGTCGAGCACGCCTACAATGGCATATTAAATATGGCAATATAAAAATCGTAAAATTTTTTATGTGGCTTGTATGATTTGAAACACCGAGTCATCAAGCGCTTTAATCAACATGCCAAAATGAATAATAATAGAAACATTTGTAGAAACTTTCCATAAATTAGATTTTTTGCTAATTTAAATTCATAGAACAATTAAATAGATTCTAGACTTCCCCTTAGAATAAATTTCAATCAAATTGACAGATTTTGAAATTCGACACAATTGTTTTTAACAAATAAGATTTGAATTCTTGTAATTTGATATGTCTGTACTTGAAAACTATCTTGACATAAATCAATGAATCTGATAAAATGTTTCTAGCTATTCTCGAGCTTATTTGTTTAAGCGTAAATACATTTACACTTATTCATTTGTATTCTTAATAGTTTTTCTGTGTATATCTATTCTCGTAGCCGATTGTTAATTGAAGATTACACCAAACACTGTTTAAGTGATCATTTCTCAAGTCTATGGCGCGTGTGCATACATAAAAATCCACGCTAATAATAGTTGAAATAATTATTCTAAAATCTCTTCTTTAAGCTGTGAAATGTGAAGTCATGGATAAGAAAATGGGAGCATCAGTGAGCTTGAAAATGAACGAGTGGAGTAATAAAACCTAGTTAGAAACGAGTTATCTTTAAAATCGACCACCTGCCTGTTTGTCTGCTACGTCCCTCGCTCACTACTAACTGTAATGTTTCAAAACATTTTGTTTTCATATATTTTCATAAATTTTTAAGTAGGTTAGAAAGAAGGAAAAAAGAGTAAAAGAAATTAAATGAAATTTCATTCAGAATGCTGCATAATTTACAGAGACTTTATGTGTGTCTGTGTTCGTAGAAAAACATATAAACAAGCGGAATTGTGCTGGACAGAAAAATAATTATTTAAACTGATTAATTTAATATTTTAAAAAGTGTCATATCATTGTTGCTGTATCGTACCACAGAGACTCATAAATCTCTCTTTGCATTTTTGTTTTTAATAAATTTTTCGAATTTCTGAATTCTGATAAGTCTGTCATGCTGTCGCGGTCGTTCTCACGCTCTGTGCAATATTATTGTTTTCAGTTTGTACTTATTGTTGGACATATGGTCAATCCGTTTTTGACAGTTTTTTCATCACTCATAAATGACATAGTTTTTTAAGGCTTTTGTTTGTTTATTAGACAATGCATTGTGTGTCTTCCAGGGTTGAGAAATTGACAAGTTTCTTGTGGATTATTTGTTCGAGGTCTTATATCAATTAAGCTACCGACTTTCACGTCAACTGATAAGAATATTGTGTCATTACACTTACTGCTGTGTAAAAGATAGTCTGGATTTGGATTTTCATATTTAATTTTTTATGTGATTCATATTTCATTTATAAGTAGCTAGTCTGAGATACCAATTAGATTGAAAGAGTTTTAAAAAGTTCTTAACAATGAATTTTTGGTCCATGTCATTGCTTTCATTCAACTTAATCTTTTAATTTGTGCAGTTCAGATGACACTAACACAAAAAAGTTTTAAATCTGAGAATTGTGAACAATACAGCAGTGACGACTAGTATGAAATATTAGCTTAAAGTTCGGTTTACGATAGTCCGCAAATGCACATAGGATTTGATAAAATTGTAAGCAAAAAGTTGACGTTACTGAATTTACTAGATAAGCTTGATAATTATAGTGCAACAATTTACAACTAAATTACCATAAAATGCAACCAAACAATTTAAAAGAGTTCAATAAACACCTTTTGATATTCAAAACAAATCAACCTCTAGAGCATCTGCATTTGTCACCGAAAAAAGACATGTGCTGCACAGTTTATATTTATCATTTTATGACTATACAGTGTAGTGTGTCTATCCGTTTATAAATTAGACAGAATTATGAATAAATTGAATTATACAAGCGATAAAAAGATTTGCAATTTTAGAGTAGAACGTGGATTGGCTGGATTTCAAGAAACTTTTAATTTTAATATTTTGCATCTTGATTGCTGAAACACAAAATTTATTAAGTTGTCATGAAGAACAGCTGAACATACATAAAATTTTTCAGGAAATTGTATAAATTTTTTTTAACAACTGATCCATAAAGTTCTAGATAACAACAAAGAGAGAAATGCGCTGACTCAGCTATACTAATAAACAATTGCTTTAACTTATTCATAAAAAGTAGTGTGTGCTTACCCTCCTTGACCACATTTTTATTTTTTCCGATACTGAAACCATCGTGAAGTCACTCAATTCCACAGTTTTTGTTATTATCAGAAAACTTTATTTTCCCCTTTTTCTAGTATTATAAACTTAACTTCCACTTTAGCTATTTAGTATCAGCTTTACTTTTACAAACAAACAAACAAACAGTTTATTAATGATTTTCCGTTTTCAGTTATCGACTCATGTATATTTTATTATTATTACATACATATTTCCATAAAAACTCATTCATAGAACATTAAATTCTTAACACATTTCTTCTTTTTCCGTCTCTCCACACTCGCCTTATTTTTACCATAAAGTTTGTTGTA